TGTATGAACAACCTATCTCTCAGTCTTTCAATACAGACGCTTTTCTACAGATGTTCAAACAAAGATTGAGGGTTATGTCCAGTCTTGGAAATATATTGAAAAGGACGAACTGTTAAGAACTTAAATAATTGCCTTAAAACTAAAACAAAAAAACTAAAACAAAAAAAAAAGATTTTTATTATAAAATTAAAATAAATTATGATATTGAGAAATACATGCATCTACCAGATGAACAAAAGCGCCAGTACTGAGCCAATTTAGACTCATAACCTTGAAATAGCGACAGGAAGGCATAAAAAACCGTTGTCCACAGGGATAAGAGAACCTGTAAAAATTGTACTAGCGGAGAAATAGAAGATAAAACGCACGTTCTTCTCCATTGCTCCGCCCACAATAATCTTCGGAAAAAGTTTTTAAGTCATCACATTAAAACTAGATTGAATTATTCAATAATGCATATAATGAACGCTGATAAATGTATACAAAATGTTGCAACGTTCGTATATGAAATGTTTAAAAATAGACATTAAATACCATTTGCTATGTAAGGCCTAATATACTATTCAAAAAAAGTAGGGGATATTTGATTTTTAAGTGTTATTAAAGTCACCTAATGAAACTGACGAAGAAACAAATGACAAAATGAAATGAAGTTCACATTCATCGATTTATTCCAAATGATCGTTAGACTAAGTAAGGCACAGACTGGCCATTATAAGGGTAAATTGATACCCGGGGTCAAACAGCAAAGTTACCACAGCATCACAACCAAGTCAGTAACGGGTAAATCCTCCTCTGTTTGCCAAACAAGCATTGATCCGACGTGGCATACTCCTAATGAGACGTCTAAGGTCATTTTGGTCCAGATTGTCTCATTCCTGTTGCAACGCAGCAGCAAGTTCTTGGACATTGGCAGGACGTTGTTGACGTAACCTCTGTCCAAGCATGTCCCAGACATGCTCGATGGGGGAGAGGTTGGGACTCAGTGCTGGCCAAGGTAATGTGGTGATGTTCTGTTGTTGGAGGTAACCTGTAACGATCCTGGCCCTGTGACATCTTGCGTTGTCATCCTGGAAGATGAAACGGCGGCCATGACGTCGTGCGAACGGCACAACATGGACTGCCTAGATGTTGTCCCGGTAGTACTGGCCTGGAACACGCCCTGCAACAACATGTAAAGCCGTTCTTCCAGCAACAGTGATGCCTCCCCACACCATAACAGAACCACCCCCAAATCGATCATGTCTGATGACGTTAACGTCTTGGAAGCGCTCGTTTCGACGACGCCACACCCTCCTACGTCTGTCCAAAAAATCAACAGTGAACCTTGACTCATCTGAAAACATCACATTGCTCCAGCGTCGATTATCCCAGTGTTGACGATCCCTACACCAACGACGTCTTGCCTGAATGTGATGATCTCTCAAACAAGGGATCACGCGAGGACGTCGGGCGCGAAGGTGACCCCTATGCAGTCGATTCCGAATCGTCTGGCCACTCACTCTCACACCAGTGTCTGTTTGAAGACGAGCGCTGATCTGATTTGCTGTGATGACACGATTTCTCAAGGCCAAGGTACGGATAAATCGATCCTGGGCTTGAGTTGTCGCCCTTGGTCGACCTGAGCGTGGTCTGTCCTGTACAGATTGTGTATCACGGTATCTGGACCATAGCCTGCTTATGACAGACTGAGAAACATTCATCGTCCGCGCCACAACCGCCTGTGTTGTGCCGATCTGTAGCATGCCAAGGGCACGTAACCTTTCATTTTGGGTAAGCCGACGCATATCAAAATTTGTTTTCTGGTCACTAAAACAATTAAACTGATGTTTCCACCCTGGAATTCAATGCCACAATGACTGTAACATTCAAAGTCAGAGTCGTGCAAATCTTGGGTTGGACCCCCATGATGATCCCAAGCATCACATGCATTCCATGCGGTAGCTATTGGTGCGTTTGGGCGTCACATGTAACTGGAAATGTTTCTTCTGTTAGGTTCTATAGTGACTTTTTTCGTAGTCATTTGCATATTTTAGTATTATGCCCCCAAAATCAAATATCCCCTACTTTTTTTGAATAGTATATATACCTTACAAACATTATTAATATAATTGAATATACTTTTAGAAACCTTTGTAAACCTTATTCTATGTTATTTGCTGTTTATTATAATTGTATTGCAATTTTGTATTGTATACTTTACCATCGTGTATATACCATGCAGCTGTGTAATAAAGCATTTTTATTATAATATTATTATTATTATTATAAACTCGAATATCCAGTATTATGAATTGAATCTAAAATATCACAGTTGTCTTGTGCAGAAAGGAGGATATTGGGCTTATTTTTCTTCTTTAAAAGCTATAAATGCAGTCAGACTAACCCTTGATTGTCGATCATACGTGAGACCCCAAAAACTATGACATAAAATATTATGTTGTATGTTATATAACTTTAGTTTTTAGATTTAAATCGATAACCACTTCTCGCAAATATAATATATCCTTTGTCATTCATATTATTATTGATAATCTTGTATAGCCTAATACTCACCCACAACGTATAAGCAGGTAAAAATGCGATGTGTTCAAACCTGATCAACGAGTGAAGGAAATTCAGATCATATTGTGGATCGCGTGGATCGCACATCCTTTGTATAGTTTCTATAAATAGTAGTAATAAATTAACCGGGGCTTTCATCATGAAATAAAATGGTGTTTAACGTAGTATAGTTCTGTACCGACTGTACCAGGGCCGTAGCTCAGAGCAACGAGGGGGGGCGGGACGTGTTCTCGGGGGTGCTGTAAAATTGACGGACACTGTATTTCTATTGTTTTAATGGTCGACAATTTTTTCACAGGCGGGGGTGAAACTTTTTTTTGCAAATATTGACAATAAAGTAAATCAAGCGTTGTTTTTATCAAAATTGATACGGACATTCATAATTACGGAGTATTACTCTTGTGCAACTCGGATCAGGTTAGTACTTTTGTACACGATGCCCCGCCTTTATATGTCAAAGACGTAAATTTAAAATGTCGGAGAAATCGCTTCGATTTAAAAAGAGGGGATTTGTACCCGTGCCAGGTAGGATTTTCTGCTTAATTGTGGTTGGATGTGGCAGAAATGTTATAAATAACAATGATTAATCGTTGTTTTTAAGAAAAAATTTGGTTATTTGAAACCCAATATGATTATCGTTGGGAATTTGCCTCTTGAAACTATGTAGCACCATTTCTTATTTCGAAAGACGGAGGGTTGAGAGATGAGGTTTCTTATCTACATTCCGTGTAGTCGCTGAAATGGAATAGCCGACCACGATTATGGTCGGTCTGGGGGTATATTATCACAAAAAAAAGTCCCAGTCCCAAATCCGTGTCCAAATAGGCAAAAAATCCAAAATAGCCGCCAGTTTTGCCTGAAAATAACAATTTTGATCAAGTTTGGTATCAAAATATATACTTTCGGTGTAGCTAAATTCATTTTCATACAAGTTTCATTCGATTCTGTTCCCTAAACAAGGGAGGAGTAGGGGGTAGAATTGAAAGTAGACTGAGAAGACAATCAAGATACACTTTAATAGTAAGTGCAGGAGGGCCGCACTACACACAAAAAGTCAGGCCAAGGAAGTTACTGGTGACAGTTATCTGTTGATAACAGATATCTCATGGGACGTTTCTTCAGTAAAGTTCCACTAACCATATATAAGGGTGGGTTTCGACGTCATTTGGCTCAATTAACCAATCTCTCTAATTATTTATGTCATATTTGACCAATTAGATAATTCAAGGTCCAAAACCCAAAGCTACAAAACTATCATACTTTTGAGAATTCACCAGACGGCACTTGATTCCAGAAGGGAAAAGATGTAGCAATTTCCATCAGCCCATCCAGTCTGGCTAGCTAGTGTTTGAAAATGACTTTAGTATTGTAATCTATACTATGCTTGTATCCATGTATTTAAGGTAACTCTGTCAAAATTCCAGGGCACATTTTCGACAGGGAGGCCAATTTGACCCATTTGGGCACGAATTTCGGACTGTGACTTTTTTTTCTTGGTGATAATATACGTCTAGACGACAATAAACCGTGGTCGGTATTTCTATTGCAGCAACTGCCTGCACGTATGTTATTTTGCCCGGACTAAAAGTTTGTTTCAACCCTAATGATCAATCCTTTTCAGACTTAGAACTTTTCAGCCAGCCCACGTAGCTTAGTAATTATAAGGTGGTTTATCACAGTAAATATCTACGATTTCTTCAATATCTAGATGTTCTGTATTTCATATAAAAATCTTTAAGTGACTCGGCAGTGGGAATGAGCATCCTTTATCTATATGTATATGTCGGTTCATTCTCACCCAGCTCAAAACTTAAATAATCATGTTAGCGTGACTAAGGTGTTAATTGGAATTTCTAAAGAAGGATTAGCTGTAGTCTGTTTCACATTGATCACTGTTTATTTCATTAAGTTAAACCTAATAGTAAAACAAAATCACTTGATAATGTTTTATGCAACATTGCTGGACAACCTTGTGTGTGTTGCTTACATCGCCAGTATATGGTATCTTTGTAGCCGTTCTTTTTGGTGTATTCGAAACCAGCATGCATTAATATACGACCACCATTAGATGTTGGTAAGAACCGCACCTGAACATTTACCATTTTGACATATCAACTGAAGATGTCACTCCCTTAAATAGGTTTTAATTGAACCAAATTGATTCATTACTTTGTAAAAAATCACTCATTAAACATGACACTTATTAAACACAGTTCACATGACACTTATTAAACACAGTTCACATGACACTTATTAAACGGTTAATCCATATCTAATTAGGTGAACACATTTCAGCTACAGACCATAATCCCCCAGCCCTAAACCCCCTTAATCAATATTTTGAGCTGGATGAGAACACCCCGTATATGTCATACCATTTAGTTATTAATTGTTATTAGGCAGTCTCTTTTGTCATAAACAAATTTAGCCATTCGTTTGTTAATAAATACATTTAATTTATTTTCACCATTTATATACAACAAACAAATTACAATTTTATACATAAATATTTTTTCTAGGCAATCAAGAGGTCTCAAATCGTGTTGTGAGTCGATCAGGAAATCTCTCTTGGTAATAGCCGTCTGCTGCTCTTCCAAATTTCATAATATTTTTACCAGGAAGATTGGTGATTGGTCGTCTGTACATGTCAATCATTAACAGGCGATTTGGGTCATGGTCTTTTTCAAAATGTTGCAATGTTCGTAAGCCTGGAAAACAGAAAGGATAAAATATAAATCATAGAATCTATTTTCTTATTTACGCTACGAGTACATTTTGGTGAAGGGCGGTGTGGGTGTGCGCGCGGTGTGTGTGGGTGTTTGGTGTGTGTGTGTGGGGGGGGGGGGTCTATATGGTTAAAAAGGGCTATGAGAGAGAGCAGGTCATTTCAGAAATATCATATGGTTTAATTTCATTTCAATAATACACTTGTGTTAGGGGTATCTAGCAGATGGGAGAAACCCGAGGCCCCGGAGAAAACTCTCTCAATTAAACTGGTGATTCGCTAACACCTAGTAAGTCCTAATATAAACTAGAAGACGGGGTGAGAAGCCTGGTGAGCTATGAGGAATTTTACACCAACATTAGGTTACGGAATTAAAATTAACTCGTAAGTCTACAGTTACATGTGGTTTGCAAATAATTACGGCATTATGATCATAAAAAAGAAAAGAATGTCTATTTAAAGATAAAATTTCTACATTCTACTAGTACATCCACCTACCAGCTTTTTGTGGCCCCCATCTTTCTCCTGCTCCTAGTCTACACGTATCGTGATTGGCGTCTGGAAATCGACTAAATTGTTCCCCTATATAGCAAGCCTTTTCAGTAGGATATCCTGGTCGGGCTACCGTACTATTCATTGAGTAGGCGTAGCGAGCTTTTATGGGTTTTTCGGTTTCTTTTCGCTCTTGACTCATTTCTTCTCTTACAGCTGGTCCCATGAAAAAGGTGCTGGGATTCTATGAATGAATAAAAAAGCATAATAAATATACATGTATAAAGTTACAGCGAAACCATACTCTCAATGTTTAGTTTGATTATTGACGTTTCGTAGAAAAGTTAATACAAGAATTAAGAAAGAAGATGTAACTAAAATTGAGAGTTTCGTATTACTGAATATAATAGTTTTAAAAAAATAGGTAATGAAAATGGCAGGTCTGTTAAATTACTTCATTCTGGGCGGAGTAATAGCCGTTTGAACAACAGTGTAGTCTCGATTGGCATTGCTACCGTTGTTACGATAATAAACAAAGTCTCGATTATCCATTTTTAATTAGATTATTAACTGTCAAAACCATCCGATGTTCTAGAGAGTTGATTATGGGCTTGACATGTTGAATAAATGTCTAAATAATGATTTATATAACATGTGAGGCAAAACGAAAGATCTGCATTAGGCAGATTTATTTCTTACATAATGTATCTTAATACCCGAAATCATTTTGTTCATCAAGATGGAACTGCAACATAACAATCTGAAACAGCAGATCATTTATAATTTCAGTTTGTCATATGTAATTAGTTTATATACAGAACGTCATCAGATTGTCGCTTTAAATCCAGCAAGAAAACTCCAAATTATTATGTGATAGTTACCTGTTTAATGTTTTTCAGCTGCTCGTCTGTTAAAACTGAATAAGGTGTATTAGCCGTTAACGGTCTTTTGGTTATCATATCTACCTCCATTTTGGGGACTGTTAAGAACTGTAATGACAATATAATAAGTATTATTTGTCGTTTCCCTTCATAGCCGGTTTGGATTAGTACCTTTTTTCAGACGATCGGGTTTATGCCATACCCATAATATGTCCGTCTCTTAAAGTAGCGGAGTCTCTAACTCAATATCATCAAATATTTTCGACATTGAAAACACGAATTATTTGTCAACTCAAACCAACATTGGTCTTGTGATCTTACAGGGAAAAGATGGGCTTCTGATATCCAATATTCAAGAAAAAATAAACATTTTACCATTGGTACGCGAATCGTGTACCATAATGCGTTCCAGCACCATTTGGAAGAAAGGACTCAAAGAACGCATTCCACAAGTCATGTCAAATGGTGACGCTATATTCTTATCTGGAGAGCATGCACATTAAATATCATCGGTGTAGACTGGAATATCCAGACGCTAAATATTGCCATTCGATTGAGACTTCTGGCGTATTTCGCCGAACATAACTGATTAGAAATTACAGTAAAAACAGAAACGGTTAAATGTAAATCAGTTTATATACATTCACATTACATTATTATATGCGTTGCCACCATTGCACCATTGCCACGAGGCTAGACACATTGCACCAAATCAAACGGCGTATGTAGACTGGAATAACCAGACACTAGAAATTTGCACTCGCTTGAGATGCTGGCTTATTTCGCCGAACATAACTGATTTGAAATTGGAGTAAAAACCGAAACCATTGAATGTAAATCAGTTTATACATGTATACATTCATATTACATTATTATATGCGTTGCGACCCACTTTTGTCAATTTCTAGGTCCCAAATGTTAGCGATTTAGCTCCTTTAACTGTTCCCGTCTTCATTAGACTGGTCGGTGCAGAACTGTAGAACGTTAAACTCCATTTCACTTCATTTCTCTGAACAGTTACATTTTCCACGTATTCTTCCCAGCGACTTGACATTTATTTTAATTACAAATAGCGATGATAGCCTTTACATGTATGTAAACAAAACGGTAGACATACACATAATATACAATACAGAGAGTCCCCGCCTTTGTGATATCTCTTTTTTGGTTAATAAAAAATGATTTTCATCACATTTTATGGAGAGAGAACAAATAAGTCATGAAAGTATTATTGAGTTATGCTACAATATTGTAAACATTACACAATAGGAAAGGCACGTCCACGTCCAGAGAGAGGAGAGAGAGAGAGAGGCAGGGAGAGAGGGACGTCCACTCGACACAAACTAGGTCATTTCGGGGCTAACATAATATAGTTCAATTTTATTTCAAAATCTCGCTTGTGCGTATAGGGTACTTTAGCAGTGGGGCGAAACCGGAGGACCCGGAGAAAACCCACGAGGTTGGACAGGCGACCCTTCTCCTTGTCACGTACAACCGGGGAATCGAAACCACGCCAGTTATCGGTGACAGACATAATGAATCAACGCGCACGTGTTAACCATTCGGCCATATATAGACATAGAGACCAGTATTATTCTTTGACAGTAAGATAATATCGTACTACCAATACTACAGTATAGTTAAAATTTATAGAGCTTCCGATTCTGCTCCACTAATTTACAACACACAGGGGATATTAAAGGCGTTTTTATCGATCACTGCTTAGACAAAGTGATTTGCATTTAAATTTTCATCTTTAACGTCTATTCAAATTCAAATCTAATCAGCGAATTTATCGACACCGATTTCCGAAACGATTACCCCAAATCACCTCCAGTTTGATCAGATGATCACGTATACTTTATTCATCAATGTCCAGCCACAAGGATTGTAACGAACTCGCCATTGAATCGACTATACTGTTACATGACATCTCCACAAAATTCAAATCGATTTGCATGTCGACAGAAACGCCTTTACTATCCATATATTATGAACCTCGCCATTTACCCCGTAAAACTCTGATCCTGATTGACTATAATACAGATCACAGCCTATTTACAACATGAATGCTTACCTTTTAAAATAATATGGCTAGTCCAGTTTAATACTATTGTCTACAGACTCCGGTACGAGTTGGTTAGGCCCTGCTTATTAAATAATACTTGAAATATTGTATAATCCTTTGGAACGGTAATATTTGATTAGCCCCATACAGTTAGTTACACTTGTTGCTAAGGACGCGGTTAATCTACAAAGGGAGCCCATCCATATTCGTGGGCAATCTTGAGTCGATTGATTTTAACAGTAAGCTACCACAAGCCTACTATATTAGTTGACCGGTTTTTGTCTTTCTTTGCCGTTTCTTGTCTTTTTTTTATATAGAATGACAAGGTTAATGTGAGAAACGACGAAGTATTAATAATATACGTTTCTCTACAAGCCTACATAAATATGGAAGATTAATGTTGCCAAAATTAGTTCAATGTTTACGGTGCAAAATGCATTATGTCAGCAGTTCAAAATACGTATTTTAATTTTACAATTTGCTATTTCCATTGCTCCACAATACCAATGTCACAGTGTTAAATACAAAATACACTCTTCAAACATACAAAATACAGTATAATAATTATTTTGCACATAATGCACATTTAATACACATTACACTTCTCCATTCTGCATAATAGACATAGTAGAACATAAGCCTATAGATACCTTATATGGGACCTACGACGAAGCTCATTTGCATATGGAAAAAAGTCCGGACTAGAACGGAAATCAATAATGGAAAAGTGTAATGTGCATAATAACTATTATACTGTATTTTGTATTATTGAAAAGTGTATTCTGTATTTTAACACTGACAATGGTATTGTGGAGCAATGCAAATTGTAAAACTAAAATACGTTATTTTGAACTGCTGATTATGCAGTTTGTACAGTGAACATTGAAATAATATTGGCAACGTTATTCTTTCATACATAAATACGATGTGAATAGGGGAATACCCGGGAACTGTGGACTGACTTTACCAACACCTTCTATTTTGAATATAGGACCTACAGGGAGCAGACTAGCAGAGTCATGCGTTATGTGCAAAATTCTTAATAAATAGCATGAATTCCTATGCGTAGTACTCAAGTTTACTCATGTTATAAGTGTTTTCTGACCATCAGAATTCTGCAAAATCTTCAACCAAAGTCAAGAAAAAGTAGGCCCTACTTCAGGGACTCTCTAGTGCCTCCTATAAAGCTTGCACAAGTTTGCGGTGCTCGGCCACTCGATCTCATTTTTGCTAAACACCCCCCCCCCCCCAACTAAATCGATATGTAGGCCCTACGCCTCTGGACATGGTCAAAACAAGCCAGTACCCCCTATAAACCTTGCTAAAATCTTTTGTACTTTTTATTTATTAATCCGATTGAATCCATGTCATAAGGGACATTATATCCAGCGTTGAGATTTTTATTTTATTTTCAGTATTAGTACAGGCTTTAAAGATTTAAGTGTATGTTTATTTCTAAACTGGAAGTCCTGAGTTCGATCATGGTGTTGGCTGATCAGTGTCCAATTGTTTGGATGTCACAAAAATGAGGTCCACCTGACTACTCTTTGGCGTGTCCGTAAAGAACCCATAACAGTTGGAATTCCCGTCAGAGCAAATTGTATGGCAAATGGGCATCTTCATCAGCCCGGTTGGGGCTGAAAAGTAAATCGTTACATCCCATTCCATTTCGCGTTTAAATGTTGGTCAGTTAATAACACCATATAATACGAAGCAAGGCCACTTCTGTGTTGGTACAGCAGAAACATAAAAATAATCCACAAAAATGGGTGTACCTCATTCGTCGTCAAATAAATTCCAGTTTTAATTACTTTTACAATTCTTTCAATATCTTCATCAGATGTTTAAACATGCATTATGCAAGAGCTAAATCTGTCAATTGCAGATCTTTCTTTAGGCCTGAAATTTTATCTAAATTATTAATTAGACATTAATTAACATATCCAGACCATAATCAACTCTCGATGGCATCGCTAGCCTGCGATATTTACTGGATTAGAACCCGGTCTGCTGCTTCTGATTAAATCAAAAAATGGATAATCGAGACTATGTTTTTTTTATCATAGCAATGATGATGATCGAGGCTAGGCCCAAAATTCAATCGCTAAATACTCGGTGCAGGGTGGATCAATTTGACTGAAATTTTCAGCAAATTCCCTTTACATTATCCAGTTTTTAACTATAATACTGAGAACTACCAGCTCTTTATTTAATCTCCCATAATGTATCTTTAAATTAGAGAGTTCACAAGATTTTAGGGTATAACTCTAAAAGTGATTAATGAAATTCATTAAATTCACTTGGCTTCCTCACCTTACTAATGTAAAACAACCTATATTAAAAAGATCAAATGTTATTTAATCTGTTTTATGTAACCTATGGACAGGGGCAATAGCTAAAGTCCTCATGGGAGTATAAAAATACTGTTTATTTTCACATTGGTACAAACCATAAACTAAAGTTTTTAGAATTATCAATTTTATGATTCAGGTATGTTTTAATTTTGAATAATAGATATATTTGAAAGATGACACTAGATCAGGTTTTGAGTTTTAAAAATATTACCAAGTTGGACCATTTGTTATTTTATCCAACACAATAAGTTAGATGAAAATAACTCTCTTTGTGTGAGTTGAGTTAGTACACAAGCGCAACACCCGACAAACAACGCGTTTACTCAATACCAACTGAAACTAAAACTTGAAATGAACCATTATTGCTCTTTGGAAAACTTTGTCCATTAACATTCTTTTCTTGGTGAGTATGTTATAGATTGTAGATTTTATTTCTGTAATTGATTCAGACAAACATACATTTTGGGACCGTGTCCTTTTATTTGTTCTTTTATTCACAACTCTTGGATTGCTTTCCCTTTGAAACATCAATCGAAGCCTTGCTGGACTGAATGCCATATCCGGTGTCAAATTATGATTGATTAACAAGGGTGTGGCAAATAGCGGTATAGTGATATTTGCGACTACATATACACTAGTAGATCCAATTTACAGGTCTCACAAGGCTATCATTACCTGGTTTACAGGTGCTCACTGGTTAAGGTCCTGCATTATTAATTGGAGGTCTCATTATCTCTATGATGATTTTGAAATAATTGTTATAAAGTCCTTCATATTCAAATCAATATCTAACAAAGATTGTATAGTGTAAAAAATCAAATAAACATTTATATAAAAAAAAAAGTTGGCATAAAATATAAACTATAACTTGACTATACATGTATATAACAATTCCACAGGAAATATTTATATATGATAGTACATTGTACATATATAGCAAAAGATAAGTATATATAATAAACATGACCAGCATGTTATTCAATTAAAGTCTCTGAACACCATTTAAGAGATAGGTACGTCCCCTGCAGACTACAATATTGTGAATGTTTAATCTCTAAAAAGAATCAGTCCAAAAATTGTTCCATTACCTTCAACATTATAAAGACATGATAAATTGAAAATTTCGCAACATTCAATTTTCAATATCCTCTGTGGACAGTAAAAACAGGATATGGTCAGAACAGACAAAGATAGATTGACAGGCAATGAAACATACGTCCGTCCGGGCAGTCAACAAGAGTTGTCGCATATTTTTACTTTTGTCGGTAATGAAACATTTATAATACACTAAAATCTGATTAAGAGTAAGAGTAACAACTCATTAAGTAATTATCAGAAGATCATTAGAATTTGTATGCCCATGCTAACATTTAGTATACAAAACACTTAATATCATGGATTTAGCTGTTCAAGTTATCAAAAATCATTGAAAATCAATATATTTGTTCGTCTCAAGATCTTAAACTCTGTGTATCAATCTAAAGTCAATCAAAACGATTATATATAAGCATAAACATGGTGCATAAATATAAAATCATAAACATGGTGCATAAATATAAAATCAATCAGATGATAACTATGTTCTCTAAAATCAATAGGATTTTTCAACTCATGACCTTAAGCACTGCGTATAAATTTTAAGTGAATTGTATATTAACTTTAGCAATCGTGGACGATTGACGGATGGGGGCGACGACAATATACGACCACCTTTCAATGTGGGCGTTTTAAAACCAAAAACAACCGAACTGTACTTGAATCAAAACAAACCAAATTTATCTAAATATATCATTTAATTGATCATATTCATTTTTTATGGCCCTTATGGCCAATCTATGTTTGTTTTGACTAATACTTTATGTCTGTTTTGTCCAAACTTGTGGGCTGTTTTGGTTTAAGGCCATTTTGTTTACAGCCCTCACAAACAAGCCGTCTGAAATCTTTTGATGTGCCTTCTTTTAATCCGACTGAGATTATCTACAGTTGATATTTTGATGCTGTTTTTTTAATTAAATGTTAAATAATCAATGTAAGAATATTTTAGCAATCACAAATGATGCACTAAGGCTTTAATAGAATGGGAAACTATTATTTATTTTTTAAAGGCTCAACAAGCAAAATGATACTCAAAAGGAGTTAACAATACATAGTCAAAAGTCTTCTTAGCAAAATTTAAGGCATATGGATGAATTAATAGTATCGATCTACACCTGCCATAAAACAACAATTCTGCTTTATCATAAAAGCTAGCCTATTAAAGATGCATTATGTAAGAGCTAAATCTGTCTATTGCCAGGTTTTTTTCTGGATTCAAATGTTATATAAATTATTATTTAGACACTTATTCAACTCTCTAGAACATCGGATGGCTGAGATATTAAATGGATTAGACATTGTCATATTTTCGTTAAAATGGACAATCAAGACTTATCATAGCAATGGTACTTGACAATCCAGACTATTTACGCCCAATCTGATTAAAATTCGAACCTGTATTTCATTTCGTTTATCTATACTTTTAATGTCCTCTTCTACATGAAGATGATGTCAGTCATTCGAATAACCAATCAGCATCAGTGATCCAATTGGATATTCAGAAATACAACTTTTGCTTGATATATTTTCTATCACTGCAAATGTCTACACACAGTTCCGCATGACAGACGATTTGATTGCTAATCCCTCACATCAACCAGAATGTGGGTTATTTAACATTCCTTCCAGATCTTAGTTTAGTGAAGACAAGTAAAACAAAATTTTGAACTATAAAGAACACACCGAAATAAGATCTGTGTTTTAATCAGATTGATTAACGCTATTTCTTGTAAAAACTTCAAATATTCAAAACTTTGATCAGAATAAAGTAACTTAAAGATACATTTAGTTAAGAGTTTTATAAAGAGTTGGCCATTCTTGCTATAATAAAAGAAAATGTTGAAAATTTTAGTCAAATTACTCTATTCTGAAAGGAATTGTCACTGTTGGAAGTTTGGACTAGAAATAGGTATCAATTGTGTTCGCACCGTCTATGAGAATTGGCGATTGTTTGATTGACAGACGATAGCTCCAGCCACATATTCTCGATTATCAAGTAACATGCTCAATGGCTATGGTAGCCTCACTTGGCAGGCCTTTCATCACCAGTTTCCGGTAGTGACATCAGCGACTAACGGTAAACGTTAGCTTGGTCCGCCATTTATTGATTTAATTTTAAATTGACGACTGTTTAAATCCAAACTGTATCCAAGCCATCCGTGGGTCTACAGGGTTGATTTTGAGCTTGTTGTGTAAATAAAGGTCTAATTAATAATTTCGATAACATCTGAAGCCTAAATAAAGACTTGCAATAGGCAGATTTAGCTCTTGCGTAATGTATGTTTAACTGAAATTTTCAATATATTCATTTTTCGTTATTTATTTTTAAACTGTTATAGTGAGAACAGGCAGCTCTTTATCTAAATCATACATAATATACCTTTAACATAGTACATACTATTATATTATTTATGAGGTATTTGGCATGTTGCCCCTTTAATCTATTCTTTAAAAATAACATGTAATAAATTTAATCATTTCATAATAATATATTTTAATAAAATTGAAAGATTAGTTTAATAAATGCAGTTTTATTGGAGAGCATAAATTCAGCTTTTTATACTCTTCTCTATGAAGCAGTATAAATAATGTTCACAACCTATGACGTACCTGCAAAGAACAATCAGTTTAAAACCATAAAGGGGTCCTATTACTTTTGAACAGTTGACAACAGGATTTTGAAAAACTGCGATTTAACAGCTATTTTATTGACGGATCAATGACACTGGTTTTTTTATTTGACCTCAGAGAAAAATCAGACCTGTTGAAATGAAATTATCTTCATAATTACAAACAATTCTGGCAATTCACTAAAATTAAACATATACAAATAACACTTTTGAAGAAGTTAAGTGAACACACATTCAATCAAATTTAAGTAGTTCAATGCAACATATTCCGATACTTTTGGGGCTTATTTTTAATGTTTTATAACCAATTATTTAAATCAGCACCAACATCAGTACCGGAGTAAACTCAAAGAACATATTGACTTCTTTATATTTTTGAAAAATTGTTTAAATAGTGTAATGTGACAATACTATATACTGGAAAACACTGGAAAACTACCGGAAAACACCATGTTATACTGAATACTGGAAAACACCGGAAAAACACTAAATACCGACAAACACACTAAATACCGTAAAATACCCTAAATAGGTAACCCAGAGACTGGCACCCTAAATAGGTAACCCAGAGACTGGCACCCTAAATAGGTAATCTTGATTCTGGTCCTCTGTGTGCCTGGGTTTGGGTTAGGGTTAGTTTCTGGTTTATAGTATAGCCCTTCTCTGGGTTACCTATTTAGGGTGTTTTCCGGTATTTAGTGTGTTTTCCGGTATTTAGTGTTTTTCCAGTATTCAGTATAACATGGTGTTTTCCGGTAGTTTTCCAGTGTTTCCAATGTTTTCCGGTATATAGTATAGCCCATGTAATGCAGTGTGTGGTACTTCACATGCATTAATGCCTTAGTGGTTGTTTTTATTATTTCCAAAATATATTATTTACATAAACAGTTCTAGGATACATTTTTCTAAAGCAACAGAATAAATTATAATAAATAGAGCTTAAAATATACAATAAAGGACTTTGTTTCACACCCATGGGTCTGGGAGACATTTGTAATTCAAGCAAGCAAAAATATAGCAAAAAAAAACCAAGAAATTGTTCAAAAATATTGACTAAAGAACATCATATTACGAAGTTCTACTTCTGCAACAGGAGCTACTTTGGTTAGCTGATTACCTCCCCTGTTACTTGTTCTTCCGACATAGATTCTTTAGGTTGAGATTTCATGGCATCAAGCATTAGTTTGAGTTTGGAGGAAGATTTATTTAATAGAGAATTGGGACAATCAAACTCCACCACCTGAAGAATAAAGCATAGAGAATACAAAAATATTAATCAGTGCCATTTAATCAGAATTTTGCAACTCAAAGCTAGACAACTGTGATTTGTTAACAATAGAGCACATCAACAGTTACACGTTTCTTTATTGATTTTGTGTCCAGTGGCAGTTGCTCTTTTATTCTAAACCAGTGGCTGCCAGGCAGGATACGCCCACATTTTCGAGAGATGGATAGAAAACAAGCTAAAACGAAAGTGATTTTTCCTACAATCAAGGGCCATAATTCAGGAAATTACAATTCGATATGCGCAAATATCGAAAGGAACCAAGATCTTTGGGTTATAAACTTACATTTCAAGTTTCAACAAAATCAGATAAAAATTGTGACCTCTATAGGGTCCACAACCTTGATATACCATATTTTTACGCAATTTGCGAACAAGAAGCGGCCATTTTGTCTGTCAGTTTTAGGCCGATTTTCACGAAATTCGAACTCAGCCGTCCTTAGGGTGTAACGGTGATACCATAATATGTTTTTTTAAATTATGACCTCTATACGGTCTACAAGCTAAAAACGTGATTTTTCGAACAATCAGTGGCCATAATTCAGGAAGTTACGGTCTGATATGCGCGAATATCGAAAGGAACCGAGATCTTTAGGTTATAAACTTACATTTCAAGTTTCAACAAAATCGGATAGAAATTGTGACCTCTATAGGGTCCACAACCTTGATATACCATATTTTTACGCTATTTGAGAACGAAGGGCGGCCATTTTGTCTGTCAGTTTTGGGCCGATTTTCACGAAATTCGAACTTAGTCGTCCTTAGGGTGTAACGGTGATATAATAATATATTTTTTTAAATCGGATAAAAATTATGACCTCTATAGGGTCCACATGCTTAAAAAGCAATTTTTCGTACAATCAGGGGCCATAATTCAGGAAGTTACGTTCCGATATGCACGAATATCGAAAGGAACCGAGATCTTTGGGTTATAAACTTACATTTCAAGTTTCATCAAAATAGAATTATATTGTCACCTCTATAGGGTCTACAACCTTGATATACCATATTTTTACGCTATTTCAGAACGAAGGGCGGCCATTTTATCTTTCAGTTTTTGGCCTATTTTCACAAAATTCAAACTCAGCCATCCTTAGGGTGTAACGGTGATATAATAATACGATTTTTTAAATCGGATAAAAATTATGATCTCTATAGGGTCCACAAGCTAAAAACGTGATTTTTCATACAATCAGGGGCCATAATTCAGGAAGTTACAGACCGATATGCGCGAATATCGAAAGGAACCGAGATCTTTGGGTTATAAACTTACATTTCAAGTTTCAACAAAATCAGATAAAAATTGTGACCTCTATAGGGTCCACAACCTTAATATACCATATTTTTACGCTATTTGAGAACGAACGGTGGCCATTTTGTCTCTCAGTTTCGGGCCGATTTTCACGAAATTCGAACTCAGTCGTCCCTAGGGTGTAACGGTGATATAACAATACGGTTTTTTAAATCGAAAAAATTATGACCTCTATAGGGTCCACAAGCTAAAAACACAATTTTTCGTACAATCAGGGGCCATAATTCAGGAAGTTACGGTCCGATATGCGCGAATATCGAAAGGAACCGAGATCTTTGGGTTATAAACTTACATTTCAAGTTTCAACAAAATCGGATTAAAATTGTGACCTCTATAGGGTCCACAACCTTGATATAGCATATTTTTACGCTATTTGAGAACGAACAGCGGCCATTTTGTCTGTCAGTTTTGCGCCGATTTTCACAAAATTCGAACTCGGTTGTCCTTAGGGTGCAACGGTGATACCATAATATGTTTTTTTAAATCGGATAAAAATTATGACCTCTATAGGGTCTACAAGGGGTCATAATTCAGGAAGTTACGTTCCGATATGCACGAATATCGAAAGGAACCAAGATCTTTGGGTTATAAGCATACATTTCAAGTTTAAACCAAATCGGATAAAAATTGTGAAATCTACAGTGTTCACAAGCTAAAAACGTGATTTTTCGTACAATCAGGGGCCATAATCCATGAAGTTACGGTCCGATACATGCCAATATCGAAAGGAACCGAGATCTTAGGGTGATAAACCTATATTTCAAGTTTCATTGAAATCGAATAAAAATTGTGACCTGTAGACTGTTCACAAACAATTGTGGACGGACGGACGGACAGGGGCGACGACAATATACGTCCACATGAAAATGTGGGCGTATAAAAACAGGGCCCTGATAATTTTTTTCTGTAAAACTACTTAATCAATATGTCTCCCTTAATTTGTAATGTATCATTGTGTCATTAAGCTTGGAAACACAAATGTTGAAATTGGACAGAATTCCTTAGGATAACCCAGGTCCATAAATTTATCAGTTTTTCAAAAATTGACAGCAATACCTATTGAAGGGGGTTATATAGTAAATAATCTACCTCACATACAGGACATTTCATTCATAATTACTACGATTTCTAAGTCTGGGACCTTATTCACGAAAACTTAAACTAAGTTACAACCGAAATTTTAAGAAATACTGCAACTTCATTGGATATATGCAAATTGATTTTACTGGTCAGCCAATCGAATTGAAGTATTTCTTAAAATTTCGATTGTATCTTATTTTAAGTTTTCGTGAATAAGGGCCCAGAACGTTTTGAGTAACAAATATATACTTTTTCTGATAGTCTGGATATTTATCCTGACCTTTATAGAGTAGGCCTACATATTCAAATTGCAAGAAATAATACATAGCTTTAAACAGTAAATAAAGAAAATACCTTTCCGTTATCTATCACAATAACTTTATCACAATTTAATACAGTATTTAATCTGTGTGCTATGACTAAAACTGTACAATCTTTAAATACATCTTGTATTGTTTGTTGTACTAGATGTTCTGTTCTAGTATCTACTGATGCTGTAGCTTCATCTAATATTAATATCTGTAAGATAAAAACCCCAACAAAATCATTACAATAAACTTTATTTGGACAATATCGATATAATTTTTGAATATTTGGTCAATACCAATTACACTTTGTAAAAATATATAGACAAGATGGTTTAGTTTTCAATATCAACATAGACAACACCGATTTAATATTCAGACAACACTGAATAGACTGTAACTTTCATGGACCATGTAAACAGTAGACAATATGACTAGAACACAAACATGTAACAGAATCATTTATTTGATCTGTCGACCTACTCGTTGACATACCTTATTATGTCTGAGAAGAGTTCTGGCTAGACACAACAATTGTCTTTCACCCATAGAAAAATTACGCCCACTTTCTTCAACTATTGTATCTAATTTTTTATCTAATTCAGAAATCTACAAAAGAAATAATGAGGAAATATATTTTGGGTTTTCAAATTTAACACATGTCTAGTAATTGTGTGGACCGTTCTCATCCCTGTATCTAACAAATACATGTTTTATTAGTAAATACACTTTTTAAATAACTAAAATTTGCATAATACACTGTACATGCTTTAATGGGAAGCAAAATTAATAATTGTACTGTACCAAAACTAACTGCACAGTGAATGGAAAGTAAAATTAAAAAATTAACTGTACAGTGAATGGGAAGTAAAATTAATAAATTTACCAAAACTATGAACCTCTCAAATTTAGCTCAAAATCGGGGTGACCTCATCTGTTATAAGTTATTTTGATTACTTATGGAACAAGGCCTATGCAATTGTTGTTTTGAAATATTAAGCAGAGGTCAGTTTGTTTTAATTTGACCCTAGTTTAACACAAATAAGTTATATCTCAGGACTTAAAATTTTAAAAGTGAGAGAAATAGGGTTTAACAGCCACTCAACACAAACTAGGTCATTTCAGGATTAACACATGGTTCAATTTTATCTCAATAATTCGCTTGCTCCTAGGGGTCTTTAGCAGTGGGAGGAAACCAGAGAAAACCCACGAGATTGGACAGGCAACCCTACTCCTTGTCACGTACAACCGAGGAGTCAAAACCACGCCAGTTGACTCAATGACAGACCTCATGATACAGCACACACATGCTAACCATTCAGCCATGCAACCCCCCCAATTTTAAAAGTAAACCGGGACATTTCTCAAATAAATTCAACACAGATTTAAATGAAGGACATCAAGATACCAAGATTACTGAATAATTTGTGTTTTGTATCTACCTTTCCTTTCATATGACATTTTTCTAAAGCTTTCCATAAATCTTCATCACTATGATATTGGCATGTAGGATCTAAATTATATCTAAAAACAAAACATTTAAAAACAACTAATATTAAGCATTTTAACAAAAATTCTTTCTATATTATTATTCATCCAATGAATCAAACTGTTACCATCTTTGGGCAATATTTGTCAGTCACACAGACCATCTGGAATCACTGAATATATTGGACTTTGATATCAGCCTGTAAGTCAACATTTAAATATACATTATGCAAGAGCTAAATCTACCTATTGGAAGTCTTTATTTAGGCTTTAGATGTTATAAGAATTATTAATTAGACCTTTATTTACACGACAAGCTCAAAATCAACTCTGTACACCTTCTGATGGCTTGAATACCGCTTGGATTTAAACAGTCGTCCATTTAAAATTAAATCAATGAATGACCTACCAAGCTAACGTTTACCGTTAGTGGCTGATGTCACTACCGGAGACAGCCGATGAAAGGCCTGCCAAGTGAGGGTACCCATTGAGAATGTTACTTGATAATCAAGAATATGTGGGTGGAGTTATCGTCTGTTAATAAAACGATAGGCAATTCTCGTAGAGGGTCCGGACACAGTTGATGCCTATTCTGTAGTCCAAACTTCCAACAGTGACAACTCCTTTCAGAATCAAGTAATTTGACTGAAATTTTCCATATTTTCTTTTTTTATCATCTATTTTTGAATTATTATAGCAAGAATGACCAACTCTTTATTAAACTCTTAACTCATGTATTTTTAACTTACTGTTTTTTAAATACCTTTCATCCATATTCATAATATAAGAAAGAGGTAATTGTTATAAAAACTGGAAATTCTTGGTGAAAGTATGACAGTCTCCCTTATTACTCTAGATATTTATAAAGGGCATGTTTGATTGTCAGTCCGGAATGCGTCCTCAATTGACAGAATTGCAAACAAGTGATACTGAATTCAGTCCTGTCACAGTTCTGCAAGTCCCGACAGCTGTGGTGGTGTGAGTAGAAGCGTGATGCATTTAAGTAACAAATATGTTTCAGCTGTCATGATCGGTTGAGATATTTTTTTTATGCAGTCGGCACATGCGTTGTAGCCTGTAATCTCCCTTTTCACTTGATTACACTATTTTTGGAATAGAGGGAATTAAAATAACTTAACGTTCAATCGAGTATCCCCAATATGTAACTAACCTTAATGTTCCTCCAAATAAAACTGGTTCTTGTACTAGTATAGAAAGATGAGATCGTAGGACAGACAGTTGAATATCTCGTATATTTTTACCGTCAATATAAATGGCACCAGATGCTGCTTCTGACAAACGGAATAAAGCTACACCAAGTGATGATTTTCCTGCAAAAACAAAAACACAAATATCATGCAATGTCAAAATGTAATTTGGATGTTAGGGACTATTATGTAAGGTTGGGAGGATGTATTTTTGGTTATTTATTTATGGTTTTCTTTGATTTCAGCATTTGCATAATTTTATATGGGCAGTCTGTATCCACTTCGTAAACCTGATTTTACTATTAGAATATGATATTCAGCAAAACTTAGAGAGTGTGTGAATATATTTTTACATAGTATATAATACTGTACAGAGCAGTGGCATTAAAATCTCATAGATTTGTCATCTGAACTGTCCAAAAAATAGTGAACATTTAGAGTGTTTCCAAGGTTTTATAAGCATTTACCAGGACGGGATATAATTTCACCAAAAATCGATAGTTAACTCTGAATTTTCAAAAGAGTTTTTCTTTATGAATGGCTGAACAATCCCAGCAAAACACAAACTGAAAAGCTCTAGATCATTTATTTTTATATCCACTTGCAATATACTGGCTCTTTCAAGCGTTTTGTTCAAAATGAGCAATTTGACTCGGCAACACTATAACGGAAGCTCTATTTTACCATCATATAAGTAAGCTATGTGTATGACCGGCGACAACACAGTAATCTTACCCGATCCTGATGCTCCAACTACTCCTATTTTCTCTTTAGGTTTAATAGTTAATGATAAACCTTTCATAGCTAATGGAAGACCTTCATTATATCTCATCTTGTATTTGTTAAATACTATACCACCCTCTTTAGGCCAATCAGATAATACACTACAACGTTCACTGGCTACGGCTCCTTCTGTTTGAAGATTCTGAATTATAATTTAAAAAAAATTATATATTGGAAAATGTAACTGAATATACATACATGTACATGTGCAAAAATACAGTGCAACAGAGAACTGAACTCTTATGGGAGTTCACAACATTCCATGTCAAATATCCCAGTGTTTATAACACCCTGTGAATGTTTAGACAATAAAAATTGAGCTCAATCAGGCTACATTAAGCAGACATTAAAGAATAACCTTGTCCTGAGCATTTCTAACAAATTTTTATAATAAAAATCTTTTAACGATTACTCAAAGAAATCTAATGGACATTCAGCTATTCAGGATTCAATTAATATGGTACTATTAACTTGCATACCCACCCTAAAACATTTTCCTTATATAATAAGAATTAATGGTACATTCATGTAATATGAATATAAAATAAACATAATACCTCAATGTAGTCTTGTATTCTCTGTACTGATGAGAAACGTGAACCAGTTTCTATACCTAGTCGTAATGTATATTGTAATATACTAGTTATCTAAAATAACAGACATAACAAAATCAAATAATAATCACATTTAGTTAAATTAATAATATTCAAGGCAATGCATATACAAACTTTCGACTAACAATAAGCAAATTATCTCAACTTCTCTCATCTATCTTTTAGAGCTAAAATTTCTCACAATATTTTCAAACATTATTTTCCTATATCTGGCAGATAGTTATGCAAATTTTACCAAAATTATTTCACTTTTAAGTGATAATCAATCTTTTAAACAATTTCCTACATCATTTGGTACCAGCTACGATAAAATGCTGAAGGTTACTGTTTAAAATCGGCTCTAGCCATAGATAATGGTAATCATGCAAAGGGTTAATTGTGAAATGTAATATGACTGTACCTGAACAGCAAATGATAAAGCTAGACCAGCTAAAGCCGAATTATCTGGTTGCTTAGTTAAAACAACTAAATAGCCAGTAACACCAATAACAACTATCGTCATCAGATCTAGAAACAAAGCTAACCAACGATTAGCAGCATAAAACAGAAAAAACGGAACAGCATTACGATCCAGCATTTCACTAAACCTGACAAGAGAAAAGAAATTCTGTAATAGATATCTATGACAGATTATAAAAGTGAGGTTTACATTATTACATTATTTTTTGCTAAATTCACTTAATTTTCAGAAAAAAACAAGGAATCTATGGTTTAAGTTTTTAAATTGAAAAAATGAAATGTCTATTATGATTAGTCATGCAAATAGTGAGTGGTTAAAATGAAAATTTCAAAGTTAGTTAAGTGTGATGGTAAAACATTTAAGGAAGTGCTAATAAAGGGTTTTTGGTAATGTTTGTTTTTATTCATTAGATACGGAATGGTTTACATCTATATACTGAGCAATCAAATGATTTCATTATCCAATCATAAAGATTTAGATAGTTCATGGAAAGGTTTAATTTGCACTGTGTTTACTGGTGTGAAGTTTAGATATACTGAAAAAAGATGATAATTATGCAAACTTTTCCATATTAAGGCTCAAACTGAAGTACAATTAACCCTTTGTCTGCCTAAGTTACAAAACTGCGACATTTTCCCCACACCTACACCATTTGAAATAACTAAAACACTTCATATCTCATGAAAAAGTAAATATTTTTTATTAAGCACTGGAAGTGTAGATCTCCATTACTAACCTCAAATATAGCATTGTTTGCTCAGAAGTATATATATATATATATATATAGACCCATGCATCAAAATGGTGACCCTGATATAAATGAATGTCTTAACACTAACATATGTGAACTGAAATCTAACTATATTAACCAGTTATAACAATTTATTAAAGTGTTTAAAACCTGTCAAATTTCTATCAAATTACTTGGCAGGCAAAGGGTTAAGACTTCAAGTTTATATTAGTATTTCTGCATTAGTTAAAAGTAAGCGTGTTGTATTGTTTACTATATACATAGTGAATCAGTGTGCATAAATAATTGCGGTTTTGTCTTACTGCTTAGAAAATCTGTCTGCTTGACCTAATGTATGTATGGTGGAAATGCCCTCGACTGTGGTGGCGAGATGGCTAAGAAACGGCGCTCGGGTGACGTTGTCCACATACTTCAACTGTTGGAGGGTGGGAGCAAACATCAAAGCAAGGATAATAAATAAAATGGCAAGTGGTAAAACAGCTAATAAATCCCAGGGATAAATATAACAGATCATGGCCAGGGCAAAGAAAACCAGGAAGACATTTTGTAGGAACATTTCACAGTTAGTTGGTAAACGAACATCAACTGAAAATATAGGAAAGGATGGAGAAAAATAAATTATCATATACATTAGTTAAACTAAAAAAGGAAAATTAGATATTATTAAGGTGTAATAACTATATGTTGTAATCGAAAATTAAAGAATAACAGTTATTAATTTCTTAGATCATGCACACCCTGCTTACTAATCTAAAGTTGTAGTTTTGGGAAATAATATCAAATTTTAGTGCTATGTTTAATTAGAAACCCATGGAAAATAAATACCTCGGAGATAAAGCAATGAATGCCAAATATTTCAATCTTATAAAATCAATCAATATTTACAAACCATACTTTAAGGCAGTGATTCCCAACGTGGGGTGCACACCACACAAGGGGGCTATTGGAATATTATGGGGTGGGGGGGGGAGGGCAATTTGAAAATGATGTCAATAAGAAAAAAATTTCACAGGTTTCATGATCACTTTTACACCAGAGCAACATTATCAAGAAGAACTGTAAGAAATAATGAGTCTGTTAAAAATTTCTTCAAAATAAAAAGAACTTGATGTGGCTCTGTGATGAGCTAGAGAAACAAACCGACATGGGCTTTAACATCTTACTGCCCTGCTGTTGTCATTCCAATCTTCTTATTTGGTAGAATATGATTTTAGTGCTGTGAGTGACTTATTATTGAAAAAAAGAAATTGACTGGGTATCACTAAACGAGGAGACTTGAGACTGAAACTGACTAAATTAGAGCCTCATATTAAAACACTTTGCTGTAAACACCAAGTACAAGGAACTCACTAACCTGATTTTTTTAAAACTAATTACTACCTATATAAATTAATTATTTTCTGATTCTTTATTATTTTATTTAAATAATTTTATTTTATCGGAAGGAATCAATATCGATTGAAAGATTCAATTTTATTAGGCTATATGCTTTTAAGAAACTCAATTTGTTTTCATATCGAAGGGGGGCACAAAATAATTTGCAATGTTGAGGTGGGGCATGGTACACAAAGGTTGAGAACCACTACTTTAAGGCTTCATGTGTTACAAGGATTTCGCTAAATATCAAATTTCTGACGGCTTAATCCACACTAATCTGTACTCTGATTCATTATTTAACATTTAATGAAGATAACAAAATTAAACATACATTATGCAAGAGCTAAATCTGCCTATTGCAGGTCTTTCTTTAGGCCTGGAATGTTATCTAAATTATTAATTAGACATTAATTAATTTATCTAGACCATAATCAACTCTCGATGCCATCGCTTGCCTGCAATGTTTATTGGGCCGACTTTAGTAATGATGATAGAGGCTAGGCCGAAAATTCAATTGTTAAAATCTTTGTTCAGAGTGGATCAATTTGACTGAAATTTTTAGCAAATTCCCTTTATGTTATCTAGTTCTTAACTATTATAGTGAGAACTACCAGCTCTTTATCTAATCTCCGCTACCAATAAAAGACAACAGTGTCTAGTTACATAGCAAACAGCATAGATTGATGAAATTTCAATTTATTGCCACTTTGTAAATACTGAACGGAATTGAACTATTTTTGGTTGATTTTCCTATTAAACTTTAACAATATGTAGTTTGCACGGATTCCTATAGCGCTAAATCAAACATCAAGCCTTTAAGTGTTCAAATTTAGAATTCAAATATCAGAAAAAGGATGCTTTAACTAATGTATTAGCATTGACACAGCTCTTAATCCGTATACAAGGCTTATTTCTTATTTGCAAAGATGATTAGTACAATCAGGTGATTCAGGTCGATTGGCCAATTTATTTTTCCTATAAAATACAATCCATTTAAATATACAGGAAGAAGCTTCAGCTCTCCGAAGTCTTGTCTGCGATATCACTTTAGTGGAAGCAGATGTTAAAGAACCAAGCCAGTCAGTCATCATACAGAATGATATTTTTCTAGTTGTGGATTACAAACACCAGGCGTATGTTTCAAGTTATTTATTAACTACTGTTAATTGATGAGTATTAAAAGAGTGTCATCAAGGTTGTCCAGTTAATTATAATAAACTGTGAATATCTGTTATAAGCAACTGTACCAATGTTTAAAGTAGTATGGCATGCCCACATTGCACTGAACATGATTAGCAGGGGATAGTCAATTCTTCCATCATGAATCATTATAAATCTTATCCTAATGCGAATGTGGGCATATAAAAAGGAAATATAACATTATAGGCAAATGTCAACATAATGTCAACCTTGCTTGTCAATTATTCATACAATATATGGCTTGTAGAATGTAGTGAGGTTAAAATGAGGTATTTTAGAAGTTCTAATTTTAATTGATAGCAAACAAGTTTTTCCTGAAAGATTTATGCAAAGAAACTTTTACAAAAATTAAAATGTTGTTGAGTTTACATACAAATATTGTAATCACTTACGTTCATCCATGTCTGCTGAAAACCTGTTCAATATTATACCAATAGGTGTTGTATCAAAGAATTTCATTGGACATTTCATGGTTTGTACTAATACCCGTTTATGAAGCTGACTAGCAGCTCGAAGTAATAACTGAAAATATATTAGGAGAGAAATTTCATATATATGACTTAATTTCACAATTCAAAGTTTTTATAAACAGACCTATATTAAAGTCAGTAAAGTCAGATAAAAGTCATCCATGACACCGATCACCAATTTGGTACTTGCTACATACTGTCTCTATAGAAATTATCCTTGTAGCAATGACTACCAGCAGAATTAACTGTACAATATGTAATATATCCAGACTCTAGATTCAATTAATATAGGTTGGATTTAAGGAGGTTGAAATACATTTTAAAGGCTCAATACCACTCTTGTTGTAACTGAATAATATGCCCCAATCTTTATTCTGGTCAACAAATTGTACTAGTTTACAATATTCCAATTAATTGATGATACAAATTTTATCTTAATACACCTTATTTAAAAAAATGGAAAAAATCAACTAAATGATTTGAAAAGCCTAACGTAAACCTTTTCAACTGTGACTTGGATTTTAAAATATTTTCGAACCCTCTGGACAAGTAAAATAGGATTTAATGGATAATTTACCCAACAGGTAGGACAATTAAACATCTAATACTTAGAATAAGGCTATTATTTATTTTCTGGAGCTGTCAATCCAGCAAGAGTGTTATTGTCCCTTTAATTACTTGCTTATTCTAAAGATATTGAATTTACCTTAACAAACAATAAACCTCTCAAAACAACAGCAATTATCATACAGACAACAAACAGACCATAAACCAGTGAATAAATATGTACATTAGGATCATCAGCAATATTCCTGGTATAAACAACTTCACTACTATTTCTAGATATATTCTGAAATAGATATACAATTAACAACTTTTCAGTTAAAGTATTCTAAAACAGATGTATAAATAACAGCTTTACATTTAAAGTATTCTAAAACAGACAGCAACTTTACAGTTAAAGATGCCTCATGTAAGAGCTAAATCTGCATATTGCATGTCTTTCTTTCGGTTCAGATGTTATATAAAGTAATATTTAGACATTAATTAAACATTACAAGTCTATAATCAACCTTCAAGATCTTCGGATGGCTGAGATCTTAATGGATTTAAACATCGTGCAATATCACTTACTTAGAAGCAAACGTTGGTAAGGAAATAATGCAAAATTAAAAAATATAACGATAAAATGGACAATTCCAGTAGCTATGAAAATCAACGATCTATGTTATATCCTCAGACAGTCATAACTTCACTTAAAATAAAGTAATTTGAATGAAATTGTCAACTTGCAGATTTTTGTTATATTTCGTTATGTCTCTTGATATAGGTCTTACATAATGCATCTTTAATGTATTCTAAAATATTCTAAAATAGTTTCTAAAATAGATTCTAACATAGATTCTAACATAGATTCTAAAATAGATTTATAAATAATAAATCTAATAATATTCTCTATTGTATACCAAATGTTTTAATCAAAATCTTAATTTTAATATATTTAATATATAAATAAAAACTTAATATTTTTTGTTGACAAAATTGTATACCTGTTCACTTTGGGACAGCCAGTGAGCAAGCCACCAATTAGCTCCCGTCTGTAAACCAATACTAAATATAAATACTATTAGCACTAATATAACTACTATATAGCCGCCTGCAGCTTTTATGTAACTATGGAAAACTTTCTTTGGTAACTGGTTCTCACTACTCTGTTGAGCTGCTACCAAATCATCTATATCAACTATAAGACATAAAAGAGAATAATTGCTTAAACCAAGAATACAGATAAATATTGTTATCTTCGAGATATGCATACTGGCAGCCTAATTGTCTTATAACACTCTTGAGAATTTTAGCTGTGATCAAGTTTGCTGCATCCTACATGAAAATATAGTGCTTAAGATAGTTTGAATGACGTTGAAACTTTTAAGAAAAATTTTATAGATTCTATGAAATTGGTACTCAGAGGTAGGACCAGTTGAATTAAGTCAAGATAAAGGGATCCTTATTGATAACTTGTTGTGCATTCTTCATGAAATATTCAAAGTGCAAGTCCCCATTGTACATTCAATTTTACTAGGAGTAATGACTTGCACTTGATGGTTTTGAAAGTAATGGTACTCTGATCATATCTGACATAAAAATCCTTTAAAATATTTTACTGCAACGCAAAATAACAAGCAGTTGTCATGCAAGATACACCCACATTTTGCAGCCAAAAAGCTATTTTTCGTAGAATCAGGGGCCATTTTCCAGGATGTTACAGTCCAAAAATATCAAAAGGAACCAAGATCTTTGGGATATAAACATATATTTAAGTTTCATCAAAATCAGATAAAAATTCTGACCTTTAGAGGGTTCCACAACCTTGGTGTTACATACTTTTACACTATTTGCATACAAGGAGCGGCTATTTTGTTGAGCAGTTTCTGTTTGATATTCACCAAATTTTGAACTCAACCATCATTAGGTTGTAACACTGATATATTTAAATATTTTTTCAAATCGGGTAAAAATTGTGACCTCTAGAGGGTCCACAAGCTAACAACCAGATTTTTTGTACAATCAGGGGCCATAATCCAGGAAGTTACGATCCGATATGTGTGGATATCGAAAGGAACCAAGATCTTTGGGATATAAACATATTTTTAAGTTTCATCAAAATTGGACAAAATTACATACTTTTACACTATTTGTGTTCATGAGCAGCCATTTTGTCGGGCAGATTTTATGAAATTTGAATTCAATAACGGAGATATATTGAAACTATTTTTAAAATCGGATAAAAATTTTCACCTACAGGTGGTCCACAAGCTTAAGTCATGATTTTTCGGATAATCAGGGGCCATAATCCAGGAACTTGCAGTTCCATATGCCTGAATATTGAAAGTAACCGAGATCTTTGGGACATAAACACAATTTGATCAAAATTGTTACCTCTAAAGGGTCCACAACCTTGATATTACATACTTTAACACTATTTGCGTATGTAGGGCGGCCATTTTGTCCAGCAGTTTCGGTCCGATTTTCACGAATCATCACTATTTTAAATCTGATAAAAATTGTGACCTCTATAAAAATGAATACTCACTATAATCATAGTCTCCTAAAGCAGCAGCTGTAACACTGGTTGATGACATAATACTGTATTGTTTTTGTAAACCTTCTTTTATAGATATATGACTTAAAGCTCGTAATAATTCTTTCTTTGAGAAACCATGCTGTACAGATTTACGATCTACAATTCAAATATCATAAATATAGAAACTTTAAATGAACTAGGTCTTAATAATAGTGTACATCCTGGCAAAGGATAGAATTAATAAAGGCTTTATACATAGATCAAGGGCGAACATTTTGATTGGTACAGCCAGTTTCTTTCTAAATTATGTAATGGGTTACCAAAGGATTAGCTGACCTCAACAAGATCTAGACACAGCAATGTCGACTGTTGGAAAGGATCCCAGCTTCTCCAATGAAAATTTGAATTACTAGATTAAATACTTTCTGCAGAAATTAGTTTACCTTCTCGATGTATAGCTGATTTAATTCTTTCTCTTTTAATATCTTCATATTTACTTTGATATAAATTAAACAATTCAAAATAATCTTTTCCTGCCATCACTAGTTCTTTATGTGTTCCCATCTCAGCTATTCTACCAGACTGCATTCTGATTACTTTATCACAGCTAATCAAATACTAGAAAAAAACAGAAGTTAAGGATTCCACTTCAATAGATTAAAGATAGTTCTGAATAAAATTTTCGTGATTTGGGCAATACTTCTATACTCTCCGTGTCCTGAATAACAGATCGTTTTCTGAATACAAAAATTAGGTGCACCTTGCTATTTTTCGTAACTGTTTTCAAAAAGTTCAGCAAATGTTCAGGAAGACCAGAAAATGTTCAGGAAGGCCAGCAAATGGATTTTTTAAAATAATTATTGCAGTATGAAGATGTTTTGAATATAAAATTATATAACATAGCATTGCAAGGCAATAAAACCAGCGGTTGCCAGGCAAGATACGTCCACATTCTGAAAGAGAGGGATAGAGAACAAGCTTAAAATAAAAAGCGATTTTTCGTACAATCAGGCGCCATAATCCAGGAAGCTATGGTCTGAAATGTGTGAATATCGAAATCGATGTAAAGATATATTTAAAGTTTCATCAAAATCGGATAAAAATTGTGACATCTAGAGGATTCACAACCTTCGTATTAAATACTTTTATACAATTTGCGTACAATGAGTGGCCATTTTGTCACAGAGTTTCGTTTTCAAAAGTGTAAAAGTGATACATTTAAACACTTATTAAAAAGGGAAAAAAATTGGGATCTCTAGGGGACCACAAGCCATAAATGCGATTTTTTCAACAATCAAGGGCCATAATTCAGGAAATTACGATCCGATATGTGTAGATATCAAAAGGAACCAAGATCTTTGTATTATAAACATGTATTTCAAATTTCATCAAATTCGGATCAAAACTATGTACTATAGTCTATAGGGTCCACAACCTTGATATACCATATATTTACACTATTTGCATACGAGGGGCAGTTTTGTATGGCAGTTTTGTCCGATATTCACGAAATTCAAACTCAAGGTAAAACGGTAATATATTCAAACGTTTTGTTAAATCAGAAAACAATTGTAGTCTCTAGAGCAATCAATGGCCATAATTCAGGAAGTTACGATCCAATATGCACGAATATCAAAAGGAACCAAGATCTTTGGGTGATAAACATCTATTGTAAGTTTGATCAAAATTGCGAATGAGGGGCAGCTGTTTTTTACACTTTTAAAAATTGGTATAACAACAAATGTAAACGGAAAGACAAACAGACAGACAAAACTGATGACAATACATGTATACTACCACTTGAAATGTGGGTATATAAAAATCAATTATAAATGTGGCATATACTAACCTCTAGATGATGTGTAACAAAGAGAACAGTTTTATCTTTGAGAATTTTTCTAATACATTGATGAAACACGTGTCTACCAATAATGATATCTAGAGCTGATAAAGGATCATCTAATAAATAGATATCACTATTACTATACAGAGCTCGAGCTAAACATATTCTCTGTTTCTGTCCTCCACTTAAAGTAATTCCACGATCTCCAATCTACATGAAGGCAAACAATACATTTATATAAATCTCTTTACAAACACAATGGCATTAATAAACTTAAAAAGTTAAATATCTGAAATACATTGACTAACAATGTACAATTCCACTATAATTTATATATTCAAAGTAGAGAAAATTTCACAGAAATCTGATACAGCTAGGCAGAAGCTATTCAATGATTTTTATTTGGGAATTTTGCAACTTACTTCCACTTTATCACTGGCACCAAAAGTTTCAAAATCATCATTCAAATGACAAGCTTCTATTATAGTTTTATACCTGCAATAAATATAAAGATGATTATTCTTTCCATTTTCTGATTTTACAAGTAGCGTCAAGCTACCTATAATTACCTCCCTTGTGTAATATGAACATTACTTAATCTAATGCTCTTGTTCTGGAATATAATGACAACACAGGTCACAATTATCTCGAGTGGAATGTTATTTCATAACATTATGTAAGTACAATGCATTAGTCAGCATAATGAGTGACCCAATCTCTGTATTGACCAAAGCCAGGATTTATATCTGTCACACACTAATATAGCACCACAGAGTACCCTGTTTCTAACATTTATGTAGAGTATAAAATTATGATAATCATCAAAAACATACCTGTCTGGTTGCAAAGGTTTACCAAACAAAATATTTTCTTGGGCTGTAGCATTGATTATCCAGGGTTCTTGGCTTAAGTAAGCAACACTGCCATTAACACCAATTGATCCGGACTTGAAATCCATCTAAAATTACAACAAACAAGCGATTGCCATGCAAGATACGCCCACATTTTGCAAGAGATGGACAGAGAATGAGCTAAAAAAAAGGCGATTTTTTTTGTATAATCAGGAACCATAATCCAGGAAATTACAGGTTATAAACATACATTTCAAGTTTCACCAAAATCGGATAAAAAGTGTGACTTCTAGAGAGTCCACAACCTTGGTATTACATACTTTTACATGTTTGCGTACAAGGAGCGGACATTTTGTCAGGCATTTTCGGTCGTATTTTCACGAAATTCAAACTCAACAATCATTAGGGTGTCACAGTGATATATTTAAACGTTTTTGTTTTTTAAATTGTGACTTCTAGAGGGTCCACAAGCGATTTTTCGAACAATCAGGAACCATAATTCAGGAAGTTATCTTCCGATATGCGTGATTATCAGAAGGAAGCAAGATCTTTGTGACAAACATACATTTACAGTTTCATCAAAATTCATAATCGATGAAGTGACTGTCTGATACAGGCCAATTTAGAAAGGAACCGAGATCTTTGGGAGATAAACCTATATTTCAAGTCTCATCAAATTCGAATAAAAATTGTGACCTGTAGAGTGTCCAGGGGCAACGACAATATACGTCCACATGAAAATGTGGGTGTATAATGGATGGTTTCTTTCAGCTTATATGTTACAGAAATTTAATTGGAATTTTGTCTAAAAATACATCACAATTTTTGATAAATAAAATGCTTTAACGCATAGCTCTTTGCATGATGGCAAAGTATTATACACAAGGTGGAGAAATCCCAAGAGTGTAGTAATATAAATTATAAATCTAATGATTTGATCAGCGAAGATAATCAACATACCCGTCCTAAAAGTGCTCCTAGTAAAGAACTCTTTCCACTTCCTTTCATACCACATATACCAACAAGATTTCCCTACAATATATACATATATTACATGTCTTAAAAGTTAAACCTTAGTTGTAATAGAAATCTAGCAGAACCTAACAACAACAAATTTGTAGTAATCATTATATAACTAATTCAGTGAAAATAATTTCTGGGCTCTGTAAATCAGGGCTCTTAATCCATTCTAGAACTGAGTCACAATAGGTTCTTAAGCTTCCATTTACTACAAATATTAAACAGGGTTCAATGACATTTATTTTTTGATAGTTTGCTTTGTAGCATGAAATATTTTGAATAATATTTATTTCCGCCACAAAAGATAATGAAAACAGGATGATACAAGTGTGGCTTACATTTCATCTCAACAATTCTTAATTACCAGTCTTGTTTATAATTTCTTGACATCATTGAACTTCATCATAAGAGAGTACTTTAACATTACATCAATAGCTTATTGATTCGTCAGAAAGCATGGTATATAACAGAAAATGGTTGATGAAAAACTTTACCTTTTTTATAGTAATATCAATATCATACAAATCTATTTTACTTCCTTCTCTCTTTAATTCACACAGAGCTCTTTCTTCATCAAATACATCATCATCATAATCATCATTGTTCTCCCCATCTTCTTCATCTCGTGTACTATAGGTAGTCATACTATTGTTTATATATGGTACATCATCTACTAGTACAGCGTTAGTTACACTATCTTCACATTCTAGATCTACAATAGCATCAAATATAAATAATAAGTAAGCACAAACAACAGTTTAACACACTGGTCATAAAATATAGTGTAATGGTAGATTGTGGTGTTCCCCAAGAACCAGGTAAGTATATCTGGTGACCTTAAACTGGATCTGATGAAATTTAAGTCAAGATTACATTACTATGCAGAAATAACCCATTACATATGAAAATATATCTTTTTTTTTACTTACATTCCTCTTGAGGAGCATCCCAACTTAAACATGCATCTTTTATAAGAATAGCTATATCATCATCTTCTATTTTTTTATGTTCAATAATTTCATCCATTAATAAAATTTCCTGTAAGTAGAAAAACAGACAAGATATTTGAAAAATCTTAATATAAAAGACAATGCAGGAAAATTGTTCAATAAAACTTTGAACTAAAAACATGACAATGCCTGAATGCTCACAATGCTGTCACTAAATCCGAAACTAAATATGCAAAATGAAATATAACAGGACTTATTCGTTTGTTTGTGGGGTTTAATGTTACTTCCGCCAAGATCATATTACAGACAGTATATAGGACTATGATAAAGTGCACATAGACAAATGGTACTAAAAAGAAACAGTTGTCAATTTAAGTCTTATCCTCTGTTCACCATTCAGTTCAGAATTCCACATTTTTAATAATCTAAAAATAATGTTTTGTCTTAAAATGTCATTTTATTGACACTTGTTTGCAGAAAAGAACGCCTATGCCTTAAAAACATACGATGCTATAAAATTTACCAAACAAAAGAAACATACAAGTGTTGTACAATACCTTATATCTACTGACAGCAACTGATGCTTCTGATAAAGTTCTAACACCATGCATCATTAAGGCCAGAGAAAAACTCATAGCATATAATACAGAGACTAAAGTGAATGCCTGTAACCCAAAAAAATAGTATAATTTTTAACAAAATGTTGATAATTTGTAAGAACTTGACCTTCTTAATATACAAGCAATCTAATGTCAATCAAAGGTCACAAAAGACATTTTTTACGATTTTGGGTGGTTCCATGTGCAAAACGTGCCCTTTTGGTCATAAAGTCTGTCACTGAGTCAAGTAGTGTGGTTTTGATTCCCATCTTGTACATGACAAGGAGTAGGGTCGCCTGTCCAACCTCGTGGATTTGCTCTGGGTTCTCCAGTTTCCTCCCACTGTTAAAGCGAATTATTGAAACAAAATTGAACTATGTCAGCCCTGAAATGATCTAGTTTGGGTCAAGTGGACGTTAATCCCTATTTCTCTCGCTCTCCATTACAATTTTTTGGATGCATTAATTAGAGACTTTGAAAGCCAACAACAATAGTACAATCAGGGGCCATTTCCCAGGATGTTACGGTCCAACATGTGACAATATCAAAAAAAAACCCAAGATCTTTGGAATATAAACATATATTTTAAGCTTCATCAAAACTGGATAAAAATTGTGACCTCTAGAGGGTTCACAACCTTGGTATTACATACTTTTACGCTATTTGCATAAAGAAGCAGCCATTTTGTCGGGCAGTTCGAAATTCAAACTCAACCGTCATTAGGGTGTAACGGTGACATAATTAAATGGGTTTTAAAATCAGTTAAAAAATGCGACTACACACAATCAGAGTGTATAATTCATGAAGTTACCATCCGATACATGCCAATATCGACAGGAACAGAGATCTTTAGGATTCAATGGATTAAATTATTTTATATATTGTAATATTGTAAAGAAGTGTACATTAATGTACAATAAATGTTAAATTAATAAATCTATTTCAAGTTTCGTCAAAATCAGATAAAAATTGTGACCTGTTGAGTGTCCACACATTAAATTTGAACTGATGGATGGGAACGACGACAATATATGTTCATATGAAAATGTGGGCGTACAAAAACAAATTAAAGGCTAGTAATCATTTATTGACAATTTTTCCAGCCCAATTCATTCCATGGGGTGTGGGGGGAAGCTTATTCAAGTTATGTGAATGTAAAGTTGTTGTGAACGTAAAGAATGAGACTAAAGAGTCTTAGTAAGACTGGATTGTAAACTGATTTTTGTTTGATTCGCACACTCAAGCTATGATCAAGGAGAGAGCAGATAATTTGAATATGTGAATACCCTATGGATTAACCCAGGGTATAGGAGAGTAGAACGGAATGAGACCACTGTTGAAACTGAGGATGGCCTAATTCAGGAACGATACTGGTAATATGTTGAGTTTAAACTAATTACAATTACCTGCGATGCTGTTAGATTATTTCCTGATAAAATATAAGCTAAAAAAATAAATACAGATGCCAAAACTGGCATCATAGGTACTAATGATGTCATAACACTTTGAAGGAATAAAGCTTTTTCTAAAACACTTTTCTCTTTTTTTCGTTTGCCTGAAAAAACAAAAAGATTTATTTCATTTATTTGTTGACAAATGTGGGTTCATCACTATTTGGATCTCTATTTATTTGGGTTCTTTAACCACAAAGAATATACTATGCGTGGAATCACAGCCAGATTCAGATGTGCTGGTTATTGTCATGTAACTTCTATTGACAGGCAAAAACTCAACAGGCCTAACAATATCCTATATTGTATTTTTAGTTATCGTGTCCCAAAGCATCAATCAATCAAATTGCTTATCTCTGCTTACCCTGCGCAGAAAATGTTTGTCTTCAACCTCCATCAAGGCATTCACCTAATGAACACCTACACCATGTTTGAACATTCTAGCTCAATTACAAGGAGAGTTATTGTGTTCCAAAGTCTCAGCCAATCAAATTGCTTATCGCTCTGCTTACCCTGAGCATAATAAGCTTAATAAGCTCATTATTGAATTTAATCAAGGTATTGATGTTATGAAACTATGCACCAAGTTTCATCTCTCCACTTAATTAGAACTAAAGTTATCATGTCCCAAAGAATCAGCCAATAAAATTGCTTATTAATGCTTACGCTAAGCAGAAAATGCTCATCTTCTAACTCTATCAAGGCATTTACCGAATAAACACCTACACCAAGTTTGAACACTCTACCTCAATTAGAAGAAGAATTATTGTGTCCCAAAAAGTCAAACTGCACGCAGCGATCCATCTACGCCATACGTCATTATGATCACTGCCCCAGTTAGCCGCCATTTAAAACGCTCACATGATCATTTTGGGGTGGGACTTATCGACTGGACTACAGCTTTGTGTACACAACAGACTAAAAATAACCCGATCACACACATGTATTATGTAAACACATGTCTATAGCAAAATGTCAACTTCTGTCAATCCGGTAAAAGCGATATATAATATGTGCCAGTGGGTAATATTGCAATACATTCTTTGCCAATGTAAACTGTCTTTAGAGTTTCAATCTGTTTATCGTTCAAAACAAGGTTAGATACTCCTAAATTTGTCTTCGCAAACAAAACCGCCTCTGTGAAATAACCTTTTATGGGCGCCGCCATATTGAATAATTCGAAGACTATTTTGTGATTCGGCTTTGATTAGTTTGACGTCTTTCATACACACAGCGGCTAAATTTATTCAATATGACAATAGAAGAGAAATAAATACTTCTAAAAATTACTAAAAGCATACTCAGTGTTTTCGACTAAAATCGTCGATGTAGGAATGTCGGATAATTAGCTTAGGGCCTGTTCTCAGGCAGAGCTAACTGTAGACAGGCAGCCTAAATTTGGGATGCCAAAAAGTGTGGCGGACAGACAGACTGGGAACAATAATCATATAGAATTTACTTTGGATTCAAGACGATGTGATCAGTTTAATTTAAAGATAAGTGTGATTCTTAGAAATTATTTTTATCTGTAAATATGTTGTTTCTAACAACAAGTAAAGATAGGTTACCAGGCAACCAAACATACGCCCACAGCAGCGAAATAGTTCGAGCGGTCGACAAGGGTTGTGTCCCAAAAAGTGTGACGGACAGACAGATGGACAAACAGATGGACAGACAGACAGACAGACAGACAGACAAACACATTTCATCATTCGAGCGTTCACAAGGTTCAACAATGGCCATAACTCTACCAGTAATTATTTCAAATTGGTGAAATTAATAGGATTCGTTTCACTAATTTAAATGATACATATAAAAATTTTGTACAGATCAGAAGATAACTTTTGTCATTCCTATGTTCATAAGGTTCAACAAAGTTAAACAAGGCCGATAATTCTAGACGTATATATTGGAAATTGCTGAAATTCAATAGGAGTCTTTGTGTCACTAATTTAAATGATTTGTATAAATTTCATACAGATCGCCTGATGACAAGGTGCAACGAAGTGAAACATGGACCATAACTCAACAAGAAATTAACGGAAATTGCTGAAATTCAATATGATTCTTTGATTTACTAATTTAAATGATGCATATAAATTTCATACAGATCAGAGAATAACTTTCATTATTCGAGCGTTCATAAGGTTCAACGAAGTGAAAAAAGGTCCATAACTGTAAAACAAATAAACGGAAATTGATGAAATTCAATAGGTTTCTGCATTTCACTATCTATATGATGCATATAAATTTCATACAGATCGTATAATGACATTTGTTGTTAGAGTGTTCACAAGGTTCAACAAAGTAAAACAAGGGGCATAACTCTAGAAGTAATTAACGGGAAATTGCTGAAATTCAATAGGCTTCTTCGTTTCACTAATTTAAAATATGCATATAAATTCCATACAGATTGGATGATAACGTTTGTCATTCACAAGGTTCAACAAAGTGAAACAAGGGTCATAACTCCAGAAGAAATTACCAAAATATTTTTTAATTAAATAGGCTTCTTCATATCACTAATGTAAACAACATACATATATCAATTTCAAAAAAACAATCAGATGATATATATAGCCTGTACGGTGTTCACAAGAAATTGGGCATATAAAAAATGAAATGATATATCTATGATGTTTTATTAAGTCTGTAATGAATGTAATAACCATAGCACTTCTCTCTGTTAACCTGGGCAGCCATTTGAATACAACAGCGAAATCAGAGACATGACATAGTTATACACGAGGGACATGTAAATCCTAGGGACTGCATGCTCTTTGTTTTTTGTTTATAGTTTAGATATCAATATTACTCAACCACACCCAAAGGAATATATCTTTTGTAATGTATATTATTGTACAGCACATTTGAAAACATTTTGTGAAAGCGTACACCATATAAATGATTTTATGATAATACTAATATAATAACACCTCAAATCATGTGAATACTTACAGTTAATTCTGTTTGTAAAAGCTGTTTCCCAAGCATTCATTTTAATAAGTTTCATGCATGTTAATATTTCAGTCATTAGGCCAACCTACAAGTAGAGTTTTTTTTATAAGTTTGGGTATAAAATTGCTGAGATGTTACAAGTATCAGATTTTAGTTATCATCCCTATAGGTCTGTCATTTGAAATCTGAATAAAAAATCAGAATTAATTTGACCATTGAAACAAAACAGTAGAATGTTATAATTAAAGATGCATTATGTAAGAGCTAAATCTGCCTATTGCAGTTCTTTATTTTGCCTTAAAATGGATAATCAAGGCTTAAAACTGATTGTCAAGTACCATTGCCGCGTTGATAAACAATCTATGCTACAAGTACATCTTGTCAAAACTTCGCTCAGAATAAAGTAATTTGAATGAAATTTTCAATATATTCATTTTCCATTATCTATTTTTTAACTACTATAGCTCTTACATAATCCAAATCTTACATAATGCATCTTTAATAGGAAAAACAGATTAATTTGAAGACATACCCTATCACCAGTATGTTGTATAGCTTCACTTCTAAATTTCTCTGTCCAACCAGCAACAAATTTCTATAAAATGGAAAGATGAATATTTCATACACACAGCACATATTTCATAGTTCCCCTCAATGCCAAATAGTTTTTGCCAGTTGTTGCCAAATTTTGAGTTATTTTGAGTCTTTCACCAGTGATTTCTATCTTCAATTAATTGAAATATGCTCAATTTGAAATGGTTTCATGTGTTTTAATTCTGGAGAGGAGTAGAGCATCACTGATTAAGGTAATGCATACTTACTAAAATAATAAAAAACATAACATAGGTTGCACATCCAATTAAAGCCCACACACCAATCAAAAAGCCCAGATATATAGAACCGGCTAAAAATACAACCGGTCCACCAATAACAAATGGTCCATTCGCCATAACTTCAAATAATCTCTGGCCATCATTACTACACATATTTACTAACTGAAAATAGAACAGCCAAGAGTCTTTACAATCTAGAGATGAAGGACGGTGCGGAGATGGCGGAAGAGGGTTGGAATAATGCTTTAATGCATTTATTTATTTCTTCATAATTCCAGTACAGTACTAAAAATACTATTCTTCTTATTTTATACATATTAAATTTTTACAGTCTGAACGTTTATGATGAATGTAAAGTGGCACAGATCAGAACAACTGACTGAATTTTCAGCTCTATAGAAAATTATTATTATTATTATTATTGATGATATTTGTTAGAATGCTGCCTTGTATGGAGTATTGTGTATGTAATAAAATTTATATTATCATATCACAACTTTGACACTTTTCTTTTAGAACTCCTATGTAAGTGGAAATATTCAAATATAAGTGGATCCTCATTTTTGATGTAGAATAGAGGAGTAGCCCTAGAGCTTCAACACCATTGACACTATTTAAATGGAATTCTTCAGTCATGACAAAAAGAACTATTTTTTTTACATCTTTACACTGGTCATGCTCAGATGAAGAAGCTTCTAAATGCCTTTTTCAGAATCTCTATAGGTCTCCACAGCTAAGACCTAGGCTATATGAATGTTGATTAACCTTACAATTTCAAACATCTTATAAAGTTTTCAACAAAAAGCTATTTTTAATGTGCAATAAGAAAATGGGCCGTTATTTAATGATTTTGGCTTTCCTCTTCGTAAACACATAAAATAAAACCCCAATGTACTCCAGTTTGAAGTGAAAACACTTAAAATACAATATTATTTTCTGATAAAACATGAGTAGGTCATTCAGAGCTCATTTCTTTCAAATGGGGTTATAAATAGGAAATATCAATGTGCTTTTTCAACTTTACATAGAACTGCAGAATATAAGAAATACATTTATGAGCATACTTATACACAAAATGGCACCTAACTTACCTCGCCTATTTTTTTATCGTGTAAACTACGTAACTTTGTTATTTTTCTATAAAACAATCCCATAATAGCACTTCTCACCCGTACACCTATCAACAAATATATATCAACTACAAAATAATAATCAAATGATGTATACTACAATAACTTTCACCGTATATTGTCAATATCCGTCAATCTGCCCATCATAAGCAACCATCAAGAATATGTATATTCGGAAAGTTGCAATAAAATCTATGTAGAATAATTTAACATCATATAATTCAGTTCTCTAATTGTTATTTTAGAGATTATAATCCCTCGCAAACTACAATATTGTGCAAGCTTAATCTCCAAAAGAAATATCAATCCAAAAATGGTTCAATTCCTTTCAGTATTTACATCTATATGATGTATCGAAAATTTGTCAACAATTGACAAATGGGATATGATCAAAGCAGGTCAGCACCACCTACAATTTTAATCTTAGAATCTTTTGATGGGCCTCTTCTTTATCCGACTGTATCCAAGCAGGAAGAATATCTATTATTGATATCTTCATCTCGATTTATAAATTAAATGTTAAATAATCAATCAGAATAGGTTACATTTTAGAAATTGTACGAAAAGAGAGAGAGAGAGAAAATGGGTTTAACGTCCACTCTACACAAACTAGGTAATTTTGGGACTAACACATGGTTCCATTTTATTTCAATAATTCGCTTGCGCGTAAGGATCTTTAGCAGTGGGAGGAAACCGGAAAATTGTCCGAAAAAGTACATTTACTGAAATTAGCGATGGAATGGAATTTTTCATTGAAAAATAATTTAGATAATTTCTAAAACTTACCATTCCAATAATTAAGTGCCCAGGTGAGTGAGTAAGATAAAGATCGACATAATTCACAAACAATGAGACTAGTAACAATAACACAACCTTCAACAATGTCAGATTTAACAGAAGCAACATGATCTAACAGAAGTCGTAAAATACCAGCCTAAAAAATGGAAAAAAACATTAATTAATAGCACATAGAATGATCAAACAAAATTGTATGTACTTATAGCTAGTGGTTACTATATACACTTTACAGCAAGTTCACACCCACCTGATTCAAATTAATTAAGCCATCATCACTCAAAGTTGCAAATATAGACCTCCCGTAAAAACAACTTTGCCAATTATCTAAGAAAACACTCTTGAGGTCGCAGTGACCGAATGCCTATTAGAAATGTGAATTCCATAATTACCATATACACAGTCAGTATGTGTACTCATTTATGCCTGAATGATTCCTTAATCCCCTAATTAAATAAAACAATTAGCTTAAAAGAGTGATTTAACTTTAGAATTTGTTTTATAAATAACATAACCAAGACAGTCGCTATAGCCATATTCCTGTATCATTTTGATCAGAATATATTGGGTTTTAAAACAAACTTTGTGAATTGATTTAATTCACTCTATATCAACTTTGAATTTAAGCATTAAATAGGCCAGATAATTGTGTTTATTGAATAATTTCGACCAAATTTAAGTAAGCAGAAGTTTACAAATTAAAAAGATGTAAGTGGCGTAATGAAAAAGGAATGAATGTTTGTGTACACATATGGTCATATATCGAATAACTTTAATCAGATTGGTATTCTCTAAATAAGTTCAGTATAAATAATCATGATACAGATTATTGTTTGAAAATGTAAATATCTGTTAACAAATTAAAAAAAATGTATACTTACATATGCTACAAATGAAAAAGTTAAACTAAATAGGACTGACAATAAAGAACAAATAATTCTGCTACTGTATGCTTTTCTGATAGCTCTACCCAAACTGGCTTTCTCTGTACCACGCTCTTCCATCTCCTTCTTCCAATACTCACTTAAACTTTAAAAAAGACAGAAAAATCTTAACTTACAAATAACTTTAACCTGACACGACCAAATGATAAAACGCCAGTCACCGAATCCCCAAAAGTGAACAAAAGCGTGTTTTGACTACCAGAAAGTGCACAGTGTCTTTAAAACTGGTTCAAATAAAATTGGGTTAGGCAACACAAGTTTTCCTCCATCAACTTTTTGTTTTTCTTCTACAAACTGGCAAGTGACAACCTATTCTTTCAGCTCAGATTTACGTCTTCTCCATATGTTTTTAAAAATATCACAGATAGTTAATTGCGCCCCCCAAAAATGGATTATCAGAGAAAGAGCTTTACACACAGAATTAAACAGTTTTATTCACTAAAATATACCTTAGATGTCTCCTATAATTTTAAGAGATTCATAAAATATTCGCAATAATTCCAATCAGTGGCGCATTAATTTCCATGATTATATAACATACAAGTGATAAACTCACAGATTAACATTAGCTTCAGCAGTGTCTTCTTCCCACCATTGTAATCCTAACACAGATACAATTCCCTTTTTATATATACACATCATGACAGGTGTCAACCAGGAAAACGTAATAAGGGAAATAACTCTAGCCTTTGAGATAGGTACCTTCGTAATAGTTCCCATGTCAACAGGTCTAAAATATATGAAAAATTACATCCTTTACCACGACATGTACATGTATAATGATGGGGTTCAAGACTTCAAAATATACAAAATGCTGAATAATAAAACGACATGTTATTACAAGTTTTATAACTATTCAAACTTTTCAATCAAACATTTTCAAATGTCAGGCACCTTATACACCCAACAGCCACAAATTCAACTCCATTAGGTGTAACAATATCTCTTAAAAACAAGGGTAAATTTAAACTCTGACATTCATATTATTGGGTGGTAAGCACAGTGAAACCCTACAAAACAGTTCAAGTAGTTAAGTCTCTAACTCAATATCATCCAAAATCTTCGACACTGAAAACACAAATTATTTGTCAATTGAAATCAACATTGATGTTGTGATTTTACCGGGAAATGATGGGCTTCTGATATCCAGTATTTAAGACAAGATAAACAGTTTACCATTGGTACACGAATCGTGTACTATAATGCGTTTCAGCGCCATTTGTAACAAGGGACTCGAAGAACGAGGCTAGAGATATTCTGCAAGTCATGTCAAACGGTGACGTCATATTCTTATCTGGAGAGCATGCCCAATAAATATTATCGGTGTAGACTGCAATAACTAGACGCTAGAGACTGCCGTTTGGTTGAGACTTCTGGTGTATTTTGCCGAATATAACTGAGTAAAAACGGTAACGATTGAATGTGAATCAGTTTATATACATTCATATTACATTATTATATGCGTTGCGACCAATTTATGTCAATTTCTAGGTCCCAAATATTAGCGATTTAGCTCCTTTAAACATACATTATGCAAGAGCTAAATCTGCCTATTGCAGGTTTTTCTTTAGGCCTGAAATGTTATCTAAATTATTAATTAGATATTATTTAACTTATCCAGACCATAATCAACTCTCGATTTTTTTGAAAAGTGATTAGACATAAAAATGGATAATCAAGACTTTTTTTTTATCGTATCGACTTTAGTAATAATGATAGAGGCTAGCCCAAAATTCAAAAGCTAATATCTCGGTTCAGAGTGAAACAATTTGACTGAAATTTACAGCATATTCTATTTACATTATGTATTTTGTAACTATTATAGCGAGAACTGTCAACTCTATATCTAATCTCTCATGAGCTAAATACTGCAAATTATTAACATCGTTTCTAAAAGTGTATTAAAGTACATAGTCTTCACTACTATAGACCTAATAAAATAGGGGGGGGGGGGATGTCCGAATGGTTACCACAAGCGCGTTGAATCATAAGGTCTGTCATTGAATCAACTGGCGTGGTTTTGATTTCCCGGTTGTACGTGACAGTCACCTGTCCAACCTTGTGGGTTTTCTCTGGGTCCTCCGGTTTCCTCCCACTACTAAAGACTCCTACGCACAAGCGATTTATTGAAATAAAATTGAACCATATGTTAGTCCCGAAATAACCTAGTTTGTGTCAAGTGGACGTTAAACCCCATTTCTCTTTCTCCTAATAAAATGTAATCTTGATACAAATTAAATCTCTCACATTAACTGGACTAAAAAAAAAATAAAGATAGGTTGCCAGGCAACGAAACATACCCCCACAGCAGCTATATAGTCCAGGCAGTCAACAAGAGTTGTCGCATATTTTTACTTTTTTCGTCTCATGACCTTAAATACTGTGTATAAATTTAAAGTCAATCGGATATTAACTTTAGCCTCTAGAGCGTCCACAAGATTTTTCAAAGTGATCAAGGGCTATAACTCTGGCAGTAATTATTAGAAATCGCTGAAAATCAATAGGCTTCTTCGTCTCATGACCTTAAACACTGTGTATAAATTCAAAGTCAATCGGATATTAACTTTGACCTCTAGAGTGTCCACAATATTTTTTTAAGTGATCAAGGGCCATAACTCTGGCAGTAATCATCGAAAATCGTTGAAAATCAATAGGCTTCTTTGCCTCATGACCTTAAACACTGTGTATAAATTTAAAGTCAATTGGATATTAACTTTAGCCTATAGAGCGTCCACAAGCAATTGTGGACGCCGGATGGACGGACGGACGGGGGCAACAACAATATACGACCACATTTCAATGTGGGCGTATAAAAATAAGAACTAAACAGAAGTGCTGATGAGATTATGACATTATACAATCACTGTAGTGTAACAAGTTGGTCCAAACAAAAGTTTAACAAATAATCTTCATTTAATCTTACCCATAATGAGGGAAGGCCTGACTAATGGAACGAAATACAGATCTTCCATTGGATGTGTTACTCTGTCTTGATTTTTTACTACACGAAGCCATTCCATCTTTTACTGGTCAACACACTGAAAAGGGCCATAAAAAGAAATGGTTATCAAGCACATTATCCCATTTTAGCCCTAAAAATAGTTTGATGTGGTGGGGATCAGATAAACTTTACTTCACAGCTGCACATTTGCCTCTTGACATAATTTCCTCGATTACATTGTGCAGATATTTGGAAAATGAGTGTCCAGCTGGGCATACCCCAATTTTTAAATATAAATGAGTCATAGAATATAATACATGACATTTTGATTTCATTTCAATATACCAGTAAATTTTCTAGTACCGGTAGCCTACTAAGTAGTGTTTCAAAGAGACATCTGTTTTAAAAATCATCAACAAGAACCAAAGGCTATAGATGTATTTCAGATATTGTTGGGGTTTTTAAAATTTAGTAATTCTGCATGACCGTCAAAAACTCTTTAGATAAAAGAATCCTTTTGCTACATTTTGCATGATATTTGACTATCATCATTCTTATAACTGGTCTGTGTAAGCAAGCCAAAATAACTGATAGACTAATAGTCTGATCATCCACCAGTAACAACATGTTGCCATCTTATTCTATTTCTTTATCTATCCATGCATATCTTCATCTCAATTCATTTATAATATATGAATTGGCTGATTTTTACATCAATTCAATTAACTATTGAATTGTTGAAATAGCAGATTCTTGCCATTAAAAATAGATATTTATGATTTTCTGGCTATATTATGGTATCAATATTGAGAAATCGATAAAATGGTAAAAAACACCATAAGAGAGTTTTGGAATTGTGGCACTTTAAACAGGAAGTTCCAGATATATTTTAATTAAACAGTGAGGAGGATCCATTATCCTTATCTTGTACAAATATCTGAATCTTTATGGTAACTGTTTTTAGAGAAATACACAAACTATCAGTTTCCATGTGGGGATGGCAGTAAGTCACTAAAATGACAATATATCCCCAATTTTCTGGATAGCCATGTCTACATATTTGCCTTGAGTATAGTGGTATTTTGATCATGACAACTATAGCCTAACGGTAGTGTTGTTTAATTGCTAGTCATTATTGGATTTCTCTATTTGGGGGAAAAAATTGAAATCTTTGAAAAGTTGAGTATCTTCAGTCATTTATTGCTTTGCCTATTCCAATTACAATAATTTACAATCAAATTTTTTAAAAAATCCTATTTTTTTCCCCCCAGCCTTACCTAAATTTCGTTTCATCTTATATATGGCCGAGTTTGTAAATTTGTGCGTTACCCTATCAATGGCATCAGTCAAGTCGTTTAGAAGACGGGGACATATTTTTTTAACGTGTTGTGTCCCTCATACTGGTTCTAGCGAGGTAAGCAAGGTCTTATTTTCTCACTTAGATGTTCATTTACATTGTTCAGGCATTCACAGGGACTGGCATGCGACCGCTTAGCAGTAAAAAGTTGCCCAGTAAAATTTACTTGGAAGTGAAATTTTTCACCAAGGATTCAATAGGACAGTTCCTGAACGTACATGGCGAGTGTAATGAGACCTACATTCAGAGCTGAACAGTCACTACTCACCAACAAAATATCATGAAGATCTTCCCACATCACTAATTAAAATAAATGGACCACATTGACCAAATTAATGAACTATTTTTACCTTAATCCACTTGTAAATTAATGATATCACCAACCATACAATTATTAATTGCTCTAAAATGTTTTTAAATACAAAATAAGAAAATTGACTCACATTGAATTCCTTTACAATCCATATAATGATATTACACCTGTGTGGGTGTGGTGTTAGCCCACTATAATTTATTATAAATGGTATTATTTCATCTACATTGTATACAATTCACAATAATATATAAAATATTTCTATTTTTATACGATCATATCTTTTGGTTTAAATCCCCACACCCTGTGACCCTTTTACATTGTTGAACATACATATACCGTTAGCTGGCTATATAAGTTATAAATAGATATCATGTACCAAATTGATTCATTCAAGACGATTTCATCCTGTAAATTATTATCTTTTTAAAGACATGAATGTAAAGGAACAGTGTCGGTTTGTCTTACCAAATATATTGCTGTCATGTTCCGATTTTGTTCTTGTGTTCTGAGATGGACTGTTCCGGTATTTTACTTCTTTTCAACGTGCGTTTTTTTTTTCAGAAAAATCGTGTTGTAACTATTTAAAGCGTCCTTCACCTTCATCCGGTGTAGCGGGTTTATACGGTTCCGGTTTAGTTCGGTCCCTTGCACATTAATTATTTGGTTCATCGTTTTCCTACGATACACAGAGGCGTAGCCGTGAAATATATATTGGGCGGGTCCGCAACCGTAACCCCTAACCCTAACTCTTTTTTAAAACCCCTACAAAATATAAACAAATCATTATGGTCACGTGGCTGGCTGAGCGGGCGATAAATATTTGGCTTAGGCGATATGTTTTTGGTTACCTACATGCGATTATCATGGCAGAAAAAAATTAACAAAATATTACTGACATGCTAACTAGACACAATTTTATGGACCACAGTTACTTTTCACTTGACACGTGTTACCAGGATGATTCTCTCTGTGTTTTATTTTAGCAATGTAAACCATATTGGGATATGCACATGTTTTATACAGATAGAATCTTAATTAATCCTAATAATTGTTGTAAATAAATAGGAGTTAGGGCCTACTATGGAAATTTTTTGGGGGTCCACGTATATTCAGCCCCCCCCCCCAGAAAAAGAATTGGGGGTCGCGCCCATGACGATACATAGTAGGCCTACACACGATGCGTAAATTTAACTACCACCGAACTGTTACTAAATAATTCAAAACATTTCATAAAGAAACATACGCCCACAGCAGCTAAATCACCCGGACAGCCAACAAGAGTTATCGGCATATTTTTACTTTTGTCGGTAGTGAAACATTTATAATACACTAAAATGAAGATACATTAGTTAAACAGGCGCGGATCCAGAGGGGGGGGGCAGGGGCTGCACCAAACCACTAATGCATGCGGCACTCTGATGATTACCCTTTGCTCCAATGTATCCCCCCCCCCCTCGACAAAATCCTGGATCCGGGCCTGTTAAAGGGGAAGACCAACGATTTTCAACAAGGGTTCCATAAATAATAAATTTATATTTAGAAATAATCCCCCCTGTAACATATGCAAAAAAAAAAATTGTAAGCGAGAAATTAATTTTTATTAATACCTGAAGTGACGTAGTTGGGAAAGTATTGATAATTTCAGTCAAATTACTTTATTCTGGTCGGAGTTGTCACTGTTGGAAGTTTGAACTAGAAATAGGCAACAACCGTGTCCGCGCCGTTTACGAGAATTGCCGATCGTTTGATTGACAGACGATAACTCCACCCACATATTCTCGATTATCAAGTAACATTCTCAATGGCTATGGTACCCTCGCTTAGGCCTTTCATGGCAGTTTCCGGTACTGACGTCAGTGACTAACGGTAAACGTTAGCTTGGTCGGCCATTTCTTGATTTAATTTTAAATGGACGACTATTTAAATCCAAGCTGTATCCTGCAGCCGATGGTCTACAGAGTTGATTTTGAGCTTGTCATGTAAATAAAGGTCTAATTATTGATTTCTATAACATCTGAAGCCTAAATAAAGACTTGCAATAGGCAGATTTTGCTCTTGCATCAGACAAATCATATGAATTTGTTTGGCCCATATACAGAACATTTAATTTCATGGATTTAGCTGTTCAAGTTATTTATCAAAATGATTGAAAATCAATATACTTGCTCGTCTCAAGACCTTGTTTTTAAACCCTGCGTAGCAATCTAAATTCAATCGAAACGATTATATAAAGGCGTAAACACGGTGTATAAATAAAATCAATCAGATGATAAATATCGTCTCTAAAGCATCCACAAGATTTTTCAAGGTGATCAAGGGCCATAACTCTGGCAGTAATTATCGGAAATCGTTGTAAATCAAAAGACCTCCTCGTCTGGTGACCTTAGACACTGTGTATAAATTTAAACTCAATCGGACATTAGCCTCTAGAGCGTCCACAAGATTTTTCAAAGTAATCAACGGCCATAGCACTGGCAGTGATTATCTGAAATCGTTGAAAATCAAGAGGCTTCTTTGTCCTATGACCTTAACACTATGTATAAATTTAAATCGTTGAAAATCAATAGGCTTCTTTGCCTCATGACCTTAAACACTGTGTATAAATTTAAAGTCAATCGGATATTGACTTTAGCCTCTAGAGCGCCCACAAGCAATTGTGAACGTCGGACCGACGGACGGACGGGGGCGACAACAATATACGACCACATTTCAATGTGGGCGTATAAAAATAAATAGAAAGTAATGAAATAATGTGACATCAAGAAGGAATGGTAAAATTTGGTAGGAATATTGCATATAGGTAGGGTGGCATTTATTCAGACTTAAAGGGAAAATGTGGGAAATTTAAAACAAAACAATTTCTTTGAAATTTGGTAGAATTCATCGAAGGATAAAAGTTTGTATAAATGAAATACTGGACTGGATCACAACGGATCAAAGCTTGGGGGGGGGGGGCAACATTTTTGCATTCTTTTCGAAAAGCGATTATTGGATTTTTATAATATGTAAAAAAAATATGCTGTTTATGTTCAGTTTTTTTTCCAAATGCTTGAACCCCTCGAGTAAATATAATTTCTTCTATGCACCCCTACTCTTAACTGACGCGATTAAGGCCCTTTGGGCCTCTTGTTTTATATTTGTTCTCTGTTAGTTCAGTTTTTGTTCGGTCGCAGTTAAGGTAGCTATCTTTGGTGGTCTTCTGTGGTAAAAAGACGAACCTAATAATTTTTTAAAATATTTAAGTTTGCGATGTATTTTATTTGTTATTAGTATTTTTGGTATATTTTCATTTTTACTGTTATTATGCATACCGTGTAATGTATATTAAATAGGCATTAACGCCGATGGTGTTTTCGTAGGTTGCCGTAAAATATTTTTAATTTAACATGATTTGACTATTCATTTTAATCGGCGATGTTGAGTAAAGATTGTGGGCAGTGGCGGCGCTAGCCGCCCGTGGTTGGAGGGGCAAAGCTGGGGCACAGTTCAAGGATAAGGGGGCAAAGGCGCGAGCTTCGACCAGCGGTATGCCTCCCCTCACCCTCCCAGAAATATTTTTAAAAAAAAACAGTGCCGGAAACGCAGTGCAGAGGCACCATTTCAGGCACTGATCGTCGACATAAATAGATCTAACCAGATACCACCAGTCGCCTGACCACTATAGTTTATCCGGCCAGAGCGGAAAGTGTCAAACGAACCTCCTCGCAACGAAGGCCCCTCATGAGCTCAAAGTACACTGTTAGAAGGATTGGGTCGAATCGACCCAAAAAATATGGGTGAAATCTGACCCAAAAATATTGGGTATACAGACATGACGCACCCCAAATTTTTTTTGAGTCATTAGGTCGCAATGGCCTAAAATTATTGGGTCAATTTGACCCATATTTATTGGGTCGCTTTGACCCATATGCATTGGGTCAAAACGACCCAAAACAAATTTTGGGTCAGTCATGTCTGTACCCAATATTTTGGGTCAAATTTACCCCATATTGTTTGGGTTGAAATTGAAATAGCCTTTTGGGGTCGTTCTTCCTATGGGTGATGTGTGGTGTTAGGACGTAAGGCCCATTATAAGGGACTGAATCACAAATGACGCAACAAAACAACACGCATCATGCATCTGAAAATATTGTAACAAGAGGCATACGAAAATTATACATGCAGGGAACACTTGGCAAACCTCGGCAGAAATAGAATCTAGTCGAAAACAGGTATTTATTCCGCTTCCTTTTGTATGACCTATGATAATGTAGAGTTTATTAAACTTCCAACAAATATAACAACTTTGTAAATCTGAATGTAATTTATTTTTGGTAAAAGAAACTCTATATAAGCAGTTGCCGCATTTTAAAATGTAAAAATAAATATTTAAAGTTTCATCAAAATCGAAACCAAAGTTAGGTGATTGAATAAATCCAAGATCTCTTGGATATAAACATACAAATTTAATCAAAATCGTATTAAAATAGTAATGTTTGTTTATTATAGTGTCACACACTCATGCATACAAGAATATATATACATACATTACATAAAATAATACATAAAATAATAGCTGCTGTGTCCAGATATCGACTTACGAGACACTTTTCTCGAAAATCAAATCATTAAAAATACTAAACAATTAAACCAGCGGCTGCCAGGCAGGATACGTCCACATTTTGCAAGAGATGGATAGAGAACAAGCTAAAAACAAAAACGATATTTTGTACAATCAGGGGCCATAATCCAGAAAGTTATCGTCTGAAATACGCAAATATCAACAGGGACTCAGATTTTTGGAATATAAAGATATGTTTTATGTTTCATCAAAATCGGATAAAAATTGTGATCTCTTATACACAAAGAGCGGCCATTTTGTCAGGCACTTTCATTTCGATTTTCCCGAAATTCCAATTCAACCTTCTTTATGGTGAAATAGTGATATATCTAAACGGTTTTTAAAATCGGAAAAAAATGTGACCTTAGAAAATCCACAAGTTAAAAATGCGATTTTTCGACCAACCAGGGGCCATATCAGGAAGTTACGTTCGAATATGTGTGATTATCAAAAGTAACCAACATCCTTATGATAAAAACAAATATTTAAAGTTTCATCCAAATCGGATAAAAACTGTTGCCTCTAGAGGGTCCACCGCATTGATATACCATATTTTTTTAAACTATTTGCGTACAAGGGGCGGCCATTATCTCCGTCAGTTTTTGTCCGATTTTTACGAAATTCGAACTCAACCATCATTAGTGTATTAACTGTGATATATTCACACGTTTTTTTTTAAGTCGGATGAAAATTGTGACATCTATATAGGGACCACTAGTCTCTATCATCCAGAAAAATATTCTACGAATATTAGTCTGGACAGGTTGTCAACATTTGAGAAAAATTGACTAGATAATCCGGTCTTTCACATTATCATAAACAATGTCTAAGGGAGGTAACTCCTCTTAAAACAAGATGTTTACGCCTATGAAATTAATTAAAGAAAGTCATTTCAAAAAATCCATTTGATTGCATGCGAGTTCAATATCTGACACTCTCGAATTTTTTATTGTAAAATTTCTCTCTTCATGGACCATATCTATGCTTTTAAA